TTTTCTTTCTTTTATTTTCTATATCCGATTACTTACATATATGTTACATACATTTTCTTATTGATGAACTAAATTCTCTTTTACGCTTACCATCATTTCCTCACACATCGTTGATCACTACTTTTCAATACTTGAACAAATAAGCTTTGCCCGGTTTTGCTTTAGCCGCGTGCACTGACTACACTCACAAAATCAACTGCCGAGCTCATGCGACAGAAAATGGCTGTAGCGAAGCTGAAACGGACTGCGATTGAAAATAAAAAAACAAGCTACACAACTGTACATATTACCAACATACATAGATATACATACATAAGTATGTATGTAAACAAATGTATAAAGATGAGTTCATTTCGTCGGTAATGTTAACAGAAAACAATTTTTAATGACAAAGTGCTTGACTTTTCTTACATACACTCTTTCTCTCTCTTTCTCTGTGATATTCAGAGTTGCCAGAATCAGCTGCAAAACTTTTTTTATTTAGTACAAAAGGTTTTCCTATATCAAATTTTTTTTCTTGGCTATTATATTATTTAAAGAGCTCTGATTGATTGATTACATAGTCATACATATTAGGCTGTGCTGAGCTGAATTATGTTTATTTATGTGTGTGTCGAAAAACGTACTGTGGCAACTCCAATTATATGAGTAGCAACCAACAGGAGAAAGATGCAGAGAGCATTCAGCACAAAAATAGATCCTCTTTTAGGCCACACCGAACGTTACTGAACTCATATATACATACGTATGTGCTATGCAAGTTTGTTTCACTGCGTTAGGTATGTATATGCATTTAGCTCTTTCCAACTCAAGCGATTGAAGCGATTGCTTATACATTTTTCTATCAATATGTAAATGTTTGTATGTTTGTACTTTCATCTGCGCACATGCTGGGCAAGAGAAGCGAAGGTACTTGTATAACATTAATATCGACATATGTACATACATATATATACATATATATACAGACTACATATATAAAGCAAAGCATGCGTGTACGTATGAACGTCTTTAAAGCAAAAATTTTACGTTTAGCATAAATGTCCCCCAACTGTCAACTTTGGCTCTCATGCATTTGTTGCCGATGAGCGTGTAATTAACAGGTAATGCGTTATATAAATATATGTGGGTATGCATGCGTTCATGCCTGTACATATGTACATATATAAAAATAATAAAGTAAAACAGAAGATGTACGCTCTTCTTTCTTTAAGAAATCCTTGCAAGAAAATGCCCTCGCAACTTCGCATCACTCGCTGATACGACTCGCTGTCATAAAAATGCGCTCTCAGGCCCAAGTGGGTATGTATATATACAAATGTACATATGTATGTGTGCACTTATTTTCGGCAAATTAATATAGGGAGAGACCTTAGATTCACTTTGAAAATATTGTAGTTGAAAATTTAGGAAATTTTCACATATAAAGGTTAATCCCCTTCGAGGTTTCCTACTTTTTTAAAGAAAAAAAAATAATTCACAGAAAATACAAACTTATTGGGAAAATTCATTCGCACGGGGAAAGTTTATTATCATTCGAAAGAACATTCTTTGGAATTTAGGTATAAAAGATTATCATTTTCAAATGTTGCCCGCGGCTACGTCTCAGATAGTCCGACCGTTGAGCCAAAGTTTCGATTATTCGTTCGACCATTTCGACTAGTACCTGGCGAATGACAAGCGTGATGTTTGATCCAAGGCCGGAATCGAAGCGGCATAGACAATATTCCTACAGGAAAAAGTTATTGTTGTAGCGGTTCGCTAACCCCGCTTAGGTACAGGTTTGATCAGTCTAAGTCGCCGAGGTCATCTAATGGTAGGTCCAGAAACGAGCTGTTTCGACGGGGTTGGACTAGAGGGAGAGGGGGGTTAGATGAGTTGGTTTGAGAGGGCATGTGAAGAGGTGGTTAGTGTCGAGCGGAGGCTCTCCACATGCAGGGCATACGTGGGGTATGCTGGGGTCTAGTCTGGATAAGTAGGAGTTTAACCTGCTACAATATCCAGACCTAAGTTTTATCAGGGCCACGCGGGTCTCTCGAGGCAGCTCGAGCTCGTTGTCTGCTATAGGTGGTGGTTTTTCTCCGAGTACGCCATTCACTGGAAGAGAGTCCTTGAAGTTGTTGACTGACTCCTGGTGAATGGCGTTCAGTGCTTGTCGGTACGCCGTCATTTAAGTCTAGTACTCCCTTTCTGATGTGCCTAGGTGAAGGTTCAGCTTCTATTAGGTACCTTTTGGGGTGATTCCTGCTTGCACAGCAAAGCATTATGCTCCTTAACTAGTAGCATAGATGCTTCCCTGATGATCCGGCGACATCAGAAGATTTCCTGTCGCGGTCTTGAGGGCGGTGTTCTGGCAAGCCTGTAGCTTCTTCGTCTGAGTCTCGTTCGTCCCCGATGCCCAGATCGGTGCAGCATAGTTTACGACCGGCCGACCAATTGCTTTATAAGTAGCCAGCAAAGTTTCTTTGTCTTTACCCCAGGTGCTGCCGGCTAGCGCTTTGAGTATTTTGTTGCGGCTCTGGAGTTTCGCGGCAATTGCGGTCATATGCGGAGTGAAGGAGTGCAGGCTGTCTAGGGTTACTCCCAATATTTTTGGGTTATTTACCGTCGGAATTTTTGTGTCATCGACCTTCACATCTAGTTCAAGCCTGTACTCCTTCATCTAGCTGGTGAAGAGGGTAGCCGAGGATTTCGTCGGTTGTATTCTTAGCTGTCTTGCAGTGAAGAAGTGGGAGAGATCAGCGAGGTAGCCGTTCACAGGAAAAAGTCTAACTGTGTGATATCATACGACCTTGGTGACCAATCGACGGGTCCAAAGCGTGAAATTTTCTGTTTTTCTAAGTATTCTCTCAATAAATCCATAGTTTGATGCGATATGTGGGAAGTGGGGCCGAGATCATGAGCACCACGGTAATGAGTTGCAACGCAGGCTATACCTGAATAAGAGCACTAAAGTTTTGGCATCTTCTCATTCTCTTGGTGTTCGTATTATTTTAAGAACATTTCAAAAATTTTTTGCGCGCTGTCAAAATTAAAAATTCCATTTATTTAGTGTTCGACACTTCAATTTAGGTACAGCAGTTACGCCGCTCAATCAATAATCAAGTCTCTCTTTTTCGTTTATTTTTTCTTGCTGTTCGTAAAGAGCATCAATGAGAATTTCACAATTTGTTGTCAGGACTGTCCCCAGTGAGGAAGCAGGAAGCAGCCGCCGTTCCTCTTATGGTTCATGAGAGTTTGAAATTTAAAAAAAATGTATCTAAAATAGAAAGACGCTTGTACCTGATTTAGTTTCCATGCCTAGCTCATTGCCTCATACGCCGTTTCTTTCTCTCTAACCAAGCCAAACAATAACAACGCACAATCACTTCGTGTAATACCGCTGTAGTTGCTCAACAATAAAAATTCGTTTCTAAACGAACTGTTAACACGAAAGAAATTCGTGCATTCGGTCGCCGGACATAACAACAAAATTGTGCTCACTTGTCGTATCTCTCTTTCTATATCACAGATTTTGTGGAATTTGGGAGAAACAAAATATACGCAATACATCTCATCGAATCCATACTCTTCTACTCACTTTGCGACTTTCTCTCTCGATTGCCGCCACCTTTTTTTCTCATACGTAATACATAAGCACAACACACAACCACACTCACCCGCGTAAGCACAAGTGTCCGAAGAAAGTGGAATAATTTTGGCCTTTATTGATATTCGACAATAAATCACGCACTTTTTAATTATACTAAATTCCTCTACTTACCATTTCTCTGTCAATTTCCTGGAACATTTTCGGCGCGCTTCACTTCACTGTTAACACTTTAAATACAATTCAAACCTGAAATTTCCTTCTGCAAGAAGTTCAAATAGAACGCGGCGCAAACATACTGAATTAACAGCTTTGAACAACACAATGAAGAAGAATACAGCGATGAAATGGAAGGAGAGAACGTCTGTAAAGTGTAATGTTACCACTGTTAAAAAAGTTTAGAAGTGCTTAGGTATGGATGTGTGTAAGTACTAGCCGACCCAGTCACACGTTGTACAACAACAAAACACATGCAAAAAAGTGGTTCGATAGGAAAAATTACTTATTAATACCCAAACAAATTTCTGTACAGTTGTTTCTCTAGAGCGAAAGCTTTTGTAACGATTTTTCCAACTTCGACGTAGCAAAATTTTCCATACAAACATTTTTAGGACTGAAGCTTTGACCGCCATCTCGAGGCACTTGCTGGAAGCTTAACCGCGCCGTGATTTATGCTGATTGATTTAATTTTAGTATAGTAGAATGGATTCGAATAACAGCGTTCGGTTTGCCTAAATTCCATTGTGTCACCGGGAGCTGTACATTCAGTTCCAGAGATTATCTGATGCATCTGTCATCTTAGCGCTCGGTTCGGCTTCCACGGTGTGCACTCTGCAATTGCCTTAAGCAGGTAAGATCGTACATGTGTAAAAGGCTGCGGAGGTGCTTCGGGGACAGAAAATATTTGTCTATTAATTCATGAAGAAATATACCGAAGTTCCAGGCAAGAATCGGTCCATTATGTTATCTTCGCGAACCTTTTCTGCCTACCGTTGACTTTTATAGTATTCAGAGAGAAAGGTTTACATCTCTTTGTTTCAGAAACCAAGGCTCTGTTAATTTACAGAACTAGAGTTAGCACAATTCCCTTCGGCTTGTTGTATCTTTTGGTAGTAGAGTTCAATCACTTTCTCATATATAGCGAGAGATTCCAATCGATCGCCTGAAAAAAGTTTCAAAGAGTTGTTTATTTCCGTTCTCAATTCTTGCAGGGTATTCAGCTTAAAGCAGGATGGAAGTATGTATAAATGTATTCACGTGTGTCTCACTCTCCATAACACAATTGCGGATCAGAGTATCATAAAAAGTAAATAAATAAAGTTGTAAGAAAGAGTAGAAAAGAGAGTAAGAAAGATTGCATGGGATTGTTTTGCTGTTAAGATAAAAGTGACGAAGTTGATCTGTTAAATGGCTGTTAATGTTTTAACAGCGAATAGCATGTAAACAGAAAATGGTAGAATTATTTATTTTCAAATGAAAGTTAAATAGAAATAAAGCTAATATAGTTGATGATATTGTAACCAGAAACCTTTTACTATTAAATTTTATGGAAAATAAATTTGTCAATAAAAATAGAGCAAAAGAAATAAGAAGAATGTTAGCAAATACAAACGGAAAACAGCTGATATGGGGCGATGTTACCACATGCAAGTGGTCACACCGCCAAATTTGTTTAAGTAAATGTTTTTATAGTTGTGTAGTTATGGAAGCGTGTATTTATTAAAAGTTTAATATTTTGTTTAAACATGTTTAGTGCACCTATAATACGTTGCAGCCTGTATAGAGTGCGTGGTGTATGTCATCAATTGTTAACAAATCAAACAAGAAAGAGCTCACCCAAATTGCCATTAGTTGGGTCTGCTTGCTTTCACTTGGAGTCAGCAAATGCCGCTAAACTGTTTGTGGACCGAGAAAATAAACATGCACATGATGTGCTCGTGAATTCATTGAAGCCTTATCAGATTTTCCGCTATGAGGAGAGTGTCGAGAATGTTCTTCAGTCGTCTGAGCTGCCTGAATTGGTGTCCACAGCGAATTTTACAAATGTCAACATGGAAGAATTGTTCAATGCATTCAATGAGTTAGCACAATATTGCATACATACTAATACATGCATTTCAGACAAGCGTTTCGAGCAATTCTGCCAATATTTCTGTGAGCAAACACATCATTTAAACGATGAGCAATTGCTGGCCACATTACGACTACTCTCCAAATTGCCTGAGGAGGCTTCCGTGCGTGAACTCAACTATATGCAGTTATGGAACAATTTGGATGTTGAGTGTTGTCGGCGCATTGAACGTTGGTCCAGTGATCAACTATTGTTAATTTGTGATGCCTGGTATACATTAAACTTGGCGCGATTTGCAGAGTTTGTATGGGAGGCATTACGTAAGTTGGGACGCAAAATACGACGCATGTCACCTGAGCATCTAGTGCAAGCTATGTTCTATTGCAATGTATTACGGCGATCCGTATTCGAAATGTTTGATTTTGAAGTGAATTTAGCGCGTCACATTGACAATATGTCATTGCAGGAATTGGGTGTCATGGCTATGGGTTTCTTTAAAACACAGACACCTATACGTAATCCAGAATTATTGGATCATCTCTTCAAACGTTTAATAGCGAATATTGAAACAGTAGAAGATATAACATTAGTTTCTATACTAAAAGTGCTACGTTATAGTAGCAAATTGCCGCAAGTGCCACAGATGATGGAGTTAATGGACACCTTGCAAACGCAGATATCACGTTTATCTCTAATGAGTTGCCTGCATGTAGCGCTATTTGGCGTGGAGTTGCAATGCTGTCACGATGGAGTTTTAGAATTGGTGTTACAGCGTTTTAATGACGAAATAGAAAATGCACGTCTAAAAGATATGGAACGTATATGTCTGGCTATAAGTGTATTCAATTACCGTAGTCCAACAGGGGTTGAACAGGAGTTATGCGCTAAAATCATGAAACTACTCGAAACGAAAGTTGATGAAATCTTAAAATATCCACGTTGTTTTGTTTGCTGTCTACACTACTTAACTTTATGTGGCTACCATAATGAAGAGATGTTAACCTCTGTTCTGGATGCGCGTTTTATAGCACATGCTTATGGTAATAATAAGATATTCGGGCGTGAACTATTCAATTTGGATTCTTTTGTGAAAATAAATTTAAAGAACACTGGCTATGCAGGTAATCAATTGCCGGAGAAAATGCGACGCACAATGGGCAAATTGCTGACACAATATATACCGGAGCGCAATCAAAAATTCAGGTTAAATCATACGGATCGCATACTTTTGGAAATCAAAGAAACCTTGGGTTGTATACTACGTCCGAATACATTCAAACATATATTACCACATTTTGAACGGCCAGATGTGGTTATTTCCTATGACAATAAACAGCGTAAGGCGCTACCGCTGGCAGCTGTTTGTCCAGCTGATTATAATGGTATGTATACATGGGTTGGTAATAATATTTTTTGTAGTATATTCGATTATTTAATTTTTTTTGTGGCCTAGGTGAAATTTTAACGCGAGATCTACTCTTGGGTGAGTCGGAGAGCTCGGAAGTAAATACTGTTGCTATCGTCATAGCTGGATGGAATAATGTAGTGAAGGATAAGGAAAGATTTACAGGTTTATTTGAGATGAAACTGAAACAGTTACGCCTGCTTGGACATAAACCCGTTGTGGTGAGTATTATATGGATATGGATATGAAATAATGCAGTTTTAAAACTATTTATGGAGCATGAATACCGATTTAGACTTCCTGATACCGACAACTTTACTTTTATACAAAAATAGTTTATTTCATTTAATTAAATCTCTCTTAAACATGGCTTTAATTAAACAACTAAGAACATGAAAAAAGATATTCTATATGCATGTGATGAAGAAAAAAAAGAGTACTGAAAATTATCAAAACCGGAAGAATATATCATATAGCATCCTCCATTCAACTGATTTAATCGCCGTGTCGCTGTCGCCGACATCTCATACATTTTTTCGTATTCATACGTATACTTATTTATTTATTTTTATAATTTTAAAGACTGAAATTATGCTAAAATTGAGTTTTACTTAAAATTAACAATCAATATTTCTTACATCTACTTAATTATTTGCAGATATATTGGCATGAATGGCGTAAACAAGAGACACCGTTGGATCGTCAACATTTTCTAAAAAGAAAATTAACTACTGCCATTAATTTATAACGATAAATGTACAAAAACAATATAATTATGCCAATATTCGTTAGCAAAATTGTATACTTAAGGAACACAATGTAAAAATAATTATGTAGAAAAAAAAAAAACTAAATTTGCTTTTGCTTCTTATCCGTCGGCACGCTCTTAGGATCAAAACGTTCATGTAAAGTCTTTTTTGTATATTCATAGACTACAAACAACGTCGCCGTTGCTGGTATGGTGCGCAGCACGGAAGGCAGCAGACCATTGTATAGCGCTAATATGCCTTCCTTGCGTACGATATTGAAGCCAACCGTCAGCATGCCGTGATCTAAATTCTGTACTTGTATACGACTCTTAATTACATCAGCAGGAAAAATCATTGTCCACAACATGACACCGCCAACAGCGCCAGCAATCATAGTACGCAGAGCGCCAATATCTTCTTTTGCCTGGCCGGGTCTGAAAGTAAATTTCGATTTAAATGCAAAACAATGCATAATTAAGTCTTTTTAAAATGAACTTACGCAGCAAGCAGTTCGCGCGTTGCTTCATAACTACCAAAGAAGAAAAAGTAGCCGGGCATTTCGCGCATGAAGGTCGATGTGAGTCCACGGAAAAAGCCAGGCACACCTGAATTGCAATAATGAAAATAAATTAGTACGATTTTTTTGTTCGTTTGGTAAAAAAGTAATGTTGATTTTCAGTTAATAACGCACCTTCTGCTTTGTAGATGATTTTTGTTAATTTCCATGGCGTCATATGCTCATTAGCCGGTACGCCAGGACAGCATTCTGCGGACTTTAAGTATAATTGTATATTAAAATAATAGAAAATCTAGTGATGTACATATAATAGAAATTAAACGATCTTACCTCCCGTATCGCCTGCAATTTACACTTCACCAATTCGGTCGGGCACAGTGTGAAGGTGGAGAAGAATGCCGCGAAAAAGCCAGCAAATGCATTCTCTGTCGTATTCAATTGTGTATTGTTCTCTTTACCAACTAGATATGTTACAAACGACTGACAACCGCCATAAGCGGCGAAAAGTACCGAATTTTCAGCAACATTTGCAATAACTGCCGGTATGCTGCCGGCGTAGAGGCCATGAAATATGCCATCCTTCCTATAAGTACTCACAAAGCAATCGAACATATTCTTATAGAGAAATGGAAATGTTTGTTGCTTCACCTTCACGGTGTCCAACGGTTGTGAGACGTACACCTGTATACCGCCACCTGAAAATGAAACGGGGAAAAATTATTTAAATTTTGAAGAATTTGTACGAGATAAAGGTATTATTTGCGAACAGTTCAATATCCTATTCATGAAAAGAGTTGGGTGTGTGTGTGTGTTTCGCTTGATTATCAAAACTAAATCATAAATTAATACACCACGATAAGTACATAAAAGAAAAACAACCACTTGAATTGATTTCACTCGTTCGACAAATCTGATTTTGCGATAATGTTTTAATCTAGTCAACGAAAAAATAATACAAACAACAGTAAGAAAAAAGACGAAATAAAACTAGCTTATTTTAAATTAAAAAAAAAAAACATACAAAAATGAAAAAATTAAAATAAATTTAATATTAAAAAATCGCTTCAGCGTTTACAAATTATAAAATTATATAATATTAAATTAAATAAGCCAAAAATATTATATAATAAAATAAAACAAAATAAGGTAAAGTAAAATAATTAAAAGAAAATAAATCAAAACAAAGTAAAATAAAATAAAAAATTAAATAACAAAGTAAATAAAATAAGATAAAACAAAACAAAATAAAAATAAAAAACAATAATAAAAATTAAAATAGACAAAAATATAAAAAGTTAAAAATATTAATAAAATAATATAAACTAAAAGAAAATAAATGAAGTAAGTAAACATTAAATAAAAAAAAGTAGATTAAATAATTAAAATAAAACAAAATCAATTCAAATAATTAAAATAAATTAAGTAAAGTAGAATAAAATAAATTTAATAAAAAAATTAAATGAAAAAAAAGAATTTGTAATATTGATAATAGAATAAATTTAATACAAAAAAATCTTAAATAAAGAAAAAATAAAATAAAATAAAATTGAAAGACTAAAAAAATATTATAAAATAAAAAAATAAAGTAAAATTAAAAACAATAAAATGATTAAATGAAATAAAAAAAAATTAAATATAATATAGCTTATTTAACATAAAATTAATATAAACGAATTAAATTGAAAAAGAAATTGAAATCAAAATAAAATACAATAAGATAAAATAGAGTTAAAAGAGATTAAATAAAATAAAAAAAACTGAAACTATAAATATGAAGCATAATAAAATAAAATAAAATTTAATACAAAAGGAAAAATAAAAATTTAAAATAAATAAAATTAATGAAATAAATAAATAAATAAACTAAAATTAATGAGCAAGCTAAATTAAATGCAATAAAAGAAAAGAAAACAAAATAAAATAAACTAAAACAAAAAAAAAAATAAAATAAAATAAAATAAAGTAAAAAATAAATAAATAAAATAAAATAAAATAAAATAAAATAAAATAAAATAAAATAAAATAAAATAAAATAAACTAAAACAAAATAAAATAAAATAAACCATAACAAAATAAAATAAACAAAAAAAAAAAAAAAAAATAAAATAAAACTAAAGAAAGTAAAATCAAATAAAAATTAAATTAAATTGAAATTAAAATTAAAACTAAATTAAAATAAAATAAATAATTTCATAGTCTTCGTAAAATTTTAAAATTCGCTAAAGTTTTTTCTTAGCAATCATTTTCCTAAAACGATTGAGAGATTTGGCACAATATATTATATGAAAATATAAGCTTATTTCAATACTCCGTCCGTACTGGGTTAGAACTTCCTCGAACCGCAACGAAAGGTGTGACAGTAGAGTAATTACTGTTGTTGATTTTGTTGTCAAGCAGACAGCTTATAATATTTACATTAATAAATGCAAATAGAACTTTTTTTTAACCCAATTAACGTTTATTGCCATCGTTTTCTAACTTATATATTTAAATAAATGAAAATATAATCTCAGATTATGACATTTTTCGTAAAATAAAAAAAACCAATTCTTCATTTGAAGCTCAATAATGAAAATCACTATTCTAAAAAAAGTATGTAAATCGACTCAAAATAAAATTAAAAAAAAAATCAAAACATTTTTAGACCTATTTATTTTAGTTTTGCTAAAGCATAATTAATTGAAAATATTTTAGACCCGAACTATTTAAATAATATGTAAATGTTTAAAAATCATTTCGAAAATTTATTAAGTTATGAATCTATTTTTCATATATTTTTTTTAATTTATTATATGTAAACATATATGTATATTTTTATTAATGAATGTCAAAAGGAAGATTTGAGGCATTAGATAAATACAACGGCATGTCGCTTGATAAGCTTATCAAATTTCTTTCTACGCATGTACATACATACATATGTATATGTGTATGTACAATACAAGCATACGACTCCAAATAGCTAGAGAATTTCCATTTCAGCATCATTTTTGCATCATTCATTCATTTATTTGTGAGTATATATGTATGTACACATGTATACACTTCTCGTACATACAGCTCTGTAAATATATCAACACATAACCCCACGAGTACTGTGAAAATTCGCTCGATTACTTAGCACATGTTCCACGTTTTATTACTTTGTATGCACGAGTATGTACATATGTATGTATGTAAACATATCTCCTCCAGTAAACTTACCCAATGATCCCGCCACGAACTCAATTAATCGACTCCTCATGGCGCTTGGTGGCGGCGGCGGTGTTGGCTCAGCCTCTTTCTTCTTCCAAAACATTTCCATTGTTGGTCCTGATGCACTTACGCGTCTGTCGCAGAGTGTAGTTTCGAAAAAACTCAAATTTCCAGCTGTTGCTTTATCCAACTATCAACACTTGACGCTTTGGAACTTTTCCGCTCAACAACTTTTTCATACAAATTGGAATTTGGATACAATTGAAATCGCGTGTCTGATGAAATTCTCGCGACTTTCAACAGCAAACAGCGTCCAAATGACACACGAACAACAATGCACTGCACAATCGCCGACTGATCTGTTAAGTTCGACTGCCACTTGGTGTTTGCCTCCGGCTATTACTTGGCGCTCTGCTACCGAAAGCGGTTTGTCACTGGCGTGCTGTTGATCGCTTATCAGCGCGAGTGCGAGCGTATAAACAGAAGAGCGTACAAATTTTTGTGTGTTTGTCGGTATGCTGTTCGAGAGAGCACGACCACTCTGGGCTGTTTATTCTCGGCAATAAAATTCTATGGACTGGTGTTGTTGTTAGTTATTTTTTGACTTGGACAACAAGAACAACAATTGATCGCGATTCAGCTGATTTTATTGGCGCGATTTTAGATTTTTAACTCAATTTCTACTAACTGGGTTTAGTTTAAAAATATTTTTTTTTTTTGGTTTCGCACTGATAACAGCTTGGAAATCGCTGATAAGCGTTCGCGACGTGAATTCAATGTTTAGTAGATACGAGGAAATGCCATTTATTTTATTTGTAAAAAAATATTTACTTTTATTTTTATATGAGTTTATTGTTGTTTATTTTTTATTTATTTTTTTATTAAGTATTTATATTGACTTTAGGCCTTTAGACCGTCACACGTGAGTTGTTAGAAAAATGTGAAATACAATAAAAAAAATCAATGAACAGTTATGAAATTTTGAGGCGCGAAAGAGTTGGAAATGAGAATTTTTTCAAAATATTTATAATCGCGTTTTCATTTCACTTTCTACGATATTGAGACGACATTAGACAGAATAATTTCAGACTTGAATGACTTCCATTGCTTATAACTACAGCTTCTTTTCTTTCCTCATAAATGGTCTAGACACCGCTTACGAGATTATAATCGAGTTAACAATTACTTGGCACGAATTGGAAACACCAAGGGCAATCACAAGGATCTCTTTACCATTTCTTTCCAATGGAGTGTAGGATTTCCTCTATCTCTGGCGAGTCGCGAATACGATGACGGTTTGTGTGATGTCAGGAGATATATCGCCTTGCCCACGTTCACTACCCGACTCATAACCTTAGCTTTCTTATCCAGTCTTGAGAAATCCTTATCCAAGGGCTCACGACAAATTGTTATTTTTCAAGTGAGCAATTGCTGTTCGAACTTTTTCATAGCCGGGCATCTGTTCCATGGTCATCGTGTGTGGCATCGAGTTCGTCATATCCTGGCGTTCCATTTGCAATACCATTCAGCAAGCGGTAGGACTGTTTCCTCCATAAATTCAGTATACTCTGGGCGTCAATCGCTGGATGTCCTCTTTGGATCCTACTTGAGTTTGCTCCAGTCATGCAACCTTCGCATCCTTTGTGACATCGTCACATCATCCATCGAATGTTGAGTGGAGAGACGTTTATCCACCCAAGGGAATGTCAGAACTAGGAGACGGTTTAAGTTTTGCTCATTTTTATTTAGCGAGCCGCTTGCTTTAAGGCCGACGCCCGCCCGCAGCCAATTCTCTGGTGAATAGAAGATGCAACAATTGGACTTTAGGAAACTCTTCAAACGAATATGTCAGAGTGACTGAACTGAAGTCTCCTTTCTATTAGCCGTGGCCGAGGCCCAAACGAGTAGCTTACCGCATCTTGCACAAGGGTTGCTTATGCTTTCTGGGTGCGCGATGTAGACGCAAGAGTAGCATTTGAGTATAGCCACGCGACTTAACTGCAAACCCAGAAACTTGTTTACAGTTCTTTACAGCCCAATGTCACAAAACCTCAATCGACTACTGATGTACCACCAAGTGGGGAGAGCACTTGACGTTTTACATCCACTTCCTCTTTCTCTGCTATGAGCACCTTTCTCGACATATCGGGAGTGTTCAATAATGTTTTTAAACATTCTTGAATAGATGGGTTAGAATCAAAAGGATAGACTTGATACGTGTCTTGCTAAGTTGCAGGAAAACCCAAGCAAAATGGGTATCACCCGTAATAACGCGGGATGTGCATAGAGCCTGCTATCACTTCGTCATGGACTTTCGTGGTCAATAGATTTGCGTATGAAAATGGAGGGGGAAGTATTTATGCTTACAGCCTATGCGGACGACGTCTCAGTCAGTCAACCCTTGGATCTCAGGCAAATCAGACACTTCGAATCTTCATCAATTGGGATATTTCAGCAGCAGTTGATACTAAGAAAACTGATCCGGTTATATTCTCAATGATGTGCAAAATCCCAGATAGGATGAAACCAAGGCTACGAAAAACAACTCTACAGCTGAAACTCAGCACTGAGTACTTGGGAATTGTGCTGGACAACAAGCTGTCGTGGAGACATAATGTGGAGGGTCGAGTGGAGAAGGCATTAGCGGCGCTCTGTAAATGAAAAATAATGTTGGGGTGTACTTGGGGTCTTTCACCTGTTTTCTCGCCTTGAATATTCCTTGCGGTCGTTAAGCTAAAGCTAATACTTTTCTACGGTGGTCTAGTATGGTTTAAGGCTTTTTACAGAATAACATATCTGATAGGGTCTGCAGACTTGCACAGATAGGCATCTTAAAGCAATACAATCTGCAGCGCTTTACGGGATTATGACCAATCCACCATTATGACCAAAAACAGGACAGCCTAACTTCCGCGGGGCTATACGCTTCTTGGCAACAGAAAATCGGTACATAAAGGTTTACAGCAGATTTATCCCTATATGTTTGAATAGACTATGTAATTCCGCACCTGACTTACGAGAAGTTACTGTCTGCTACAATAGAGGTGAATGGCTGGAGCAAAGATCTGAAGTTCTTAGTCAAAGCTCTGTATATTTTCACCAGTGGTTCAGAAAGGCGTGACGGCGCCTGGTCATTTAAGCTGCCAAACCATTGCAGTATCTTCCAATCTAAAAAATTTGCTATAAAAAAGCGTTTATGTAGATAGCCAAGCGACCATTAAAGTCTTACTTTCCGACAGCGCAAAGTCAGTTGTACTCGCACTGTGCGATGTGAGGCGATAAAAAGACCGTTCGAGCCAAGAAGGTTTCATATTTTCTGTGTGCCGGGTAATTTGGATATCGAATGCTTTCGAAGAGCAGATGAATTGGCAAAGGAGGGTCTTCCTGCAGAGAAGAACTACATCTATTTGCGAAAAGTCCAGCTAAGTACTTCAAACTAAAGAGGTCTCTCCCCTGATATTGGACAAAAATCAGGCATTTTGGGGGAGAATGAAAAGCCGTACGAACTTCCGATTAAATTTGTTTATTATTTGAGAATTTAAGACGGGGAAAAAAAGAATGACGGCTAAAAAATGGCCTACAGCCTCTTGTAGTGGACCGAAATCTAAAATCGTTGTCATTACTTGAAGCTCATGAAATTTTCTACGTACTGAACCTCAATTGAAACAATTTTAACAATAAATTTATTGCATAGAGCTTATTACAATTACACAGTTAAATTTTTTGCTACTTTTATCACTCCAATTACGGTAAAAAAATATAGACAATTAATTATTATTGCTAAACTTAGATTCAAAACGTACAAAAAACTATTTAAATTGAATTTGAAACAGTTTTTAGATAAAAGAAATCGTATGGATAGATCAAGACCGGGGCTTGAAGTTAGCTCTGAAAAGATGGTTTCGAGAAAAATGCGTTCCGTGCGTGCGCGAGACAGTTGTGTTCGAGAAGCTGCCACTTGAAAAATATATTACTCTAATATAACCTAGGACCGTTCGAATAACCACAAACTCAAAACTGGAGGAAGAAACATTGTATTGTATTGTAAAAGAACCTCTGTCCTTGACTCTGATGGGAAACCCAATAGTTTCCCCATGAAGGACGCTCTCAAAAATGCGGTAGATCTTTTCGATTGTAAGGGTTTCCAGTTCGGGTCTGAATTAACTTTTGTCGGAAAAATAAAAATAAATAATTAATTTAATTTAATATTTTTTTATTCATTTATTTATTTATACGCTTGTTAATTGTTTTTTTTTTTTTTTGGTTGTGGTATATAATGTATTAAATGTAATATATATATATATATATATATTTATTTATTTACGTTTATTTATGTATATATGTATATATAGATATATATGTTTGTGTGTATAATATGGTGTATTTTTAGGTAAGTATTGTAATTTACACGAAATGCTAACCATAAGATACCAATAATAATCATTTGAAATACATACATACTTATATATAATATATTTTCCATTTACGTTACATATTTTACACTGCTCTTTGCTATGTATTCTAAGTATTGTATATAAGTATGGAGTTATGTATTATATTTATGTAAGTAATTTTTGGATTTGAGGAAAATAGATTTATTTCGCTTGGATGGGAGACTTGTAAGTGACGAAGTAAATACATACATTTACATACAAAATTAGCAATATTTAGCTTTTTACATAAACTATTTATTAATGTCTGTATACATACATATATGCTGCATGTGTGTGCAGTCATAGATAATTAAATATAAAAAATCTATGCTTTTTTTTTTGCAAGACAGTAATTATATTTATGTATGCATGGTTTTATTCGCTGGAAGAATATTTTATTTTTTATTTTTTTCTTCTCTCTTTCCGCATTACTCTTTGCATTTCTATCCGTCTAAGTGTGTTTTTTTGCTTCTAATTTTATGGAATTGTATACAGCTTGAGATTAATTTCCTGATGTGCGGTATTAATTTTGCAATGCTTTTTTTAAATTTTTTTTTTAATTTATTTTTAATTAATTTTTAATTTATTTTTAATTTTTTTCATGTTTAATTTTTAATATTTAATAATATTACATATTTAAATTTTATTTGTTATTGTTATTATTATATATATATTTTCCTTAATTATAAATATATAAATGTATGGAGTTACATCTATGTATACGAGTATGTGTGCTTATTATTTATACTTGTATATGTATATTAAACAATACATTATGTATATATGATACTAATGTGATATTTTAATTCATTTGCTTAAGCAACATGCGTTTTTAAGGCTGGAGCAGAAATGAAAAGAAATTAAATGTATTGTAAAAATTAATGAAAAGTAATGAAATGAAATAAAAAGATATAAAAAAAAATCAAAACAAAAATTAAATAAATTAAAAATGTGAATATTATATTAAAGTCATAAAAAATAAAATATAATACTGATAAGGATAAATATAAAAAAAAAATAAATAAATAATAAAATAGAAAAAATTAATAATTTAGAAACATTGGTGTGAATTAAATATTAAATAATAAAATATGAATTAATTAAAGATTAAAACAAATAATGGATTAATTTAAATATGCAAAAAGTAATCAATTCAATAAAAAACAATTTAAAAATTAATACTGAAATGAATTAAAAATAAAACAATAAATACTAAAAAAAAATAAATAATAAAAACAAAAAAAAAAATAAATAATAAAAATTATAAAAGATTAAATTAAAAATATTATGCAATAATTAAATAAATATGAAAAAGTAATTAAAAATAATAAAGTAATTAAAATTATTAAAAAAAAAATTAAAAAAAATTAATTAAAATTTCAACTACAGCTACATAAAAAGAAAACAAATAAGTAAATTCATAAAGTAATAGATACAAAAATTTAATAGATTGGAAAGAAACCATAAAGTGAATAAAATATTTAACAAAAAGTACAATAATGAAAATTTTTAAAACATATAAAAAATCAATAATTATAAAATTAATAAAAAAATAACAAACAAATTAATTAAAAATACAAAAAAATAGATAAATTTATTAATATCAATGTTAAAATATGAAATAAAAAGTTCAATAAATTGAAAAAAAATGATAACAATAAAGTGAATAAAAAATTTTATAAAAAGTTTTGTAAAAAAATTAAAAAATTTTATTAAAAATTTAATAATAAATAATAATGAAATAAGTAAAAAAAATTTGCAATGAAATTAGTTAAAATATAAAAAAAATGATAATAAAATGAATAAAACATTAAAGAAACAAAATTGAATTAAAAAAAGATTAAAGAAAAGAAAATAATGAAACACTTTAAAAATTGAAAAAATTATAATAATATTAATAAAATATTAAATAGAGTGTAATTTGAATTAAATTATATAAATTAATATTAAAGCAACTTGTAATTGAATAAATTGAAATTAAAACAAATGAAATGAACAAAATATTAAAGAAAATGAGGAATAAAAAAAATTAAAATAAAATAATTTAAAAAAATAATATAATATCAAAATAACAATTCAATGAAAAAATATAATATAAGCAAGGATGACTAAGTTCGCGTGGTAACGAACGACATACTCTCGGCTAATATTTATATTAACGCCAGTCGGCTTATCTACTATACACAGAAGGACTAAAGCACAGTTGAATGTGAGTTAGTTTTGTTCATAGACCCAAGGGGATGTCAAGTAAAAAGTCCGTGGTACGAATTCTTACTAGACCATGGTCTCATAAGCATAAAATTCGATCAAATTTTGTCCGCTGTTCAGTGGTTGCTGAGCTATACTTTTTACCCCAAAATAGATGATGCCACGTTCGTCTCTAGTAAATATTAATTATGACGATTTTCGTATTTTGCAATATTACCGGTGGACGTGATTTTGATTCAAGTTCACCCACTTGTTATACCGTCCGCACTTGTGACCCAAGAAATATGTGGAATAAATTTGTCAAGAACAAAGTACTCAATCCTTACATAAGTGGTCGTGTACAAAGACGGCTGGACAGTCAGGTTAATTTTTGCCGTTAACCGAACAAACCTTATACACTCTAGCCATAGTACATAGTGTAGCCGAGTATAAAAACTATAAATTAATGTTAAAAAAACGTCATTCACATAAAAAATCGTCATTTACGAAATAAAACTAATTGGAAAAATTGATATTTTACTGTTACATAGGCGCCTTTGCATATGCATTTTTTAGCGTTTAATTTCAATTCATGATTTTTTTTAAATATATTTATTTATATTGTGTATTTGCTGTTTGTACTTGTAATTTTACGCGAATTATGCTTATACAGGGTGTAAAAATAGCGATTAATCTGCATGTACATATATTTTTGCTTTAATTAATTTAATTTTAGTGTTTTTTTTTTTGCTTTTTTGCTATTTCCAATTGGTTTTTTATTATAACTGTTTTTGGCTGTTATGATTTGAAATTATTGATTTCAATAAATTTTACAAACAAGCTTCAGCTGCTTAGCATGTATTTTGCTGGCAAAAGTTGTTACACATTTCAATTTTAATTATTTTTTTATTTACTTTAATTAATTGTTAATTTTTCTTGTATTTTTTTTTGTCCTATTAAATATGTCTTAATGGTTATGCAATACATATTTTCATATAAAATACAATTATTAATAAGTTTTTTCTTTTGCAAATAATTTTTTTATAATAATTTTCTTTTTTAATATTTTTTTTTTTAATATTTATATGATTAAATGAAATTATTTATGTATATACTACAACTATATTAATTATTTATTTTCTATTATAAGAATTTTTACATTTTATTTATTTTTTCTTGATACATCTTACTGCATTAAAACAAAATTAATTCTTTAAATGTTGGCACGTATTTTATTTATTTGTTTATTTTATTTTTTTATTTTTTTATATATTTTTTTTGCACAAATAAATTTGTTAAATTTCTTTTAGAGTGCATCCTTTCTACAAAACATATTAAATATAGTAGATTACTAATACCACAAAGGGAAAGGAACAAACATATTTAAACGTTAGTTATTTATACGTATACTCGTACATATATTTGAATATATACTAATATATTGATGGACACAATTACATACTTATACGACATATAGTAATTAGGAGACCATGTGATATTAACAGTTTTATTAATTTATTTACTAAAAGTTAATTAAAAAAAATTAAAAATTAAAAATAAAAATACAATAAATCCTCATTAAATAACCGTAATATTTCGTAGTAATCGAGGAGCACACAAAAATAAAAATATATCTAAAATTAAATATTGCTGCGCCGGGTTCAAAAAGCATTTCTTATATGACCATGGATTTTTCCTCATCCTAAATGTATGCAACTAGTTTTGAATTAATTTAATTACAAATACAAATACCCATACATATCTATTATTATTTTATACTAAAATATTTTTACATCTAATTTTTTTTATATATATATTTATATGAACTTGCTTTAAATCACTAAATATTTTTTTTTTAATTTTTGCCAAAAGCTTTTTTATCGGTTCTCATCTTTCTTATCATCAAGCCTATACACTTTCCGAGGGCTTTCCCTATTTTTCTATACAATAATTTTATGACAATCAATTTTCAATTTATTTTTGTTTTTTTTTTTTCCTTCTTTTACTTGGCCAATAAGTGGCGAAACCAATAGACATTTTTGCTTGTTGAATCCTTTAATGTCCTTTAATCATCCTTCAGTATTCTAGTGTGAGTGGTGAATATTTATATGTTTGTATATGTGCAAAAATGGGCTTTTTAGATAAAACTTCATAAGTGGAATATTGATGAGGAATTTTCGTGGAAAATTGTGAGCCCCTATCAACCACTAAGCTGCCATCATGTGTATGCCAGGTATGTTGGCGAACTAGGTTTATAGTCGAATACTCAGAAGTGGAATAATTTTTTGGAATACGAAATCGTAATCTCAAAAGTTCTTTATTTTTACTTACTGAAAAAGTTTCCTTCTTATCATACCATGGTTTGTTCGTAAAATAATATAACAAAACAAAATCGAACCTTGTCTTGCCCGCTTCTTAATTTTTACTGCTTACGCGAGGAGTGTAAATCCTTGAGCAACTTTAGCCGGTGACTTATTGTTTCCTGCCATTTGAGTTACTGCATTCTAACGCCTATATATTCAGACATATGTATATGTAAGAATGTAATTCTCTGGAGATCAGTGAAGTTATACATCTTTCCTTTCCGGCTCATTGAACAATTGCGATTGCCAGCTAAGTAGCCTCAGCTGCCTCATGAGCAACAGGATATGAACCATGAGTTATGCTCAATTTTTGATATGAGCACACCTAAATACATTCAACTTTCTTACCCTTACCAATGAAATGCTCTCAACACTTCAATTGAAGGTTTTGGCGTAAATGGAAAGTATTTTGTATTAATAAACAAGATAACCAAATCAATTTTGGCGCGCCAAATGGAACAGAAGGAACAATAAGGAATCGTTTTGTTTAACAACGGAAGGACGCCGAGCTAGTTACCCGTTACCTTAAATGGGAAGCAATTGTATGTCTTCCAAGTTCCAGTCAGCAAGGACAGTGTCCTTCTGACCACCGAAGCCGTATATGAAAAGCCATAGTCACTAAAGACTTTGCACAATTTCAAGACCATCAAGAGCATCAGCGAAGGAAAACACACTCACTTTTTTCTTTTTTCTCACTCAGTTTTACAAAACAAAGACAGATTGAAGAGTAGGAAATACTATCAATGACACATGCAAGAAGAGCTTGGAGGCAGGCATGAGTGAGATGTTGGAGTTCCTCTTTTGAATGCGTCCGGTCTTATCTAGAACTGACAGGCTGAGATATCAAGAAACTTCGCTGTGCTAAGTACAGAAGAAGTTTCATAACTGTATATCGAAGCCCTCTTAATCAATACCTTCTCCCTTAGCTAATCTTAGTAGAGAAGTAAGCGTCAGCACCTCCGGAAATATCGCCAAAATGCCATACTATGAAACAAACTGAAAATATTTTATTCTTTAACGGAGCATCAACAAATGATGTAGTGCCTTAGTGGTGAAGAGCCCTAAAATGAAGCTCAGGCTTAATTTCATTTCTATTTTCGAAATAGACATTACTTAAAACCTCCTCTACAACTCACACACACTTTTAGTAATATGCCGGAAATGGATGATAATTTGAAGGATTGGAAGCATGATGGTTCGCTGAGGGTAATACTGGGGGCCGAACGCCAGGATGATAATTGCCAGAGGCCACCTGATGATAAGCGCCAAAACTACGCGCCATGTGTCTATTCTGTGCAGTGTCGCCAAGAAGGCGCGATTGATCACTACCCAAGAGTCGATTATTTTGCTCCATTAATAGATGAGCGGTGGGATCGACGAGTAGACGATGTTGATCAGCAGCTACATTAGACGCAGCCAATATACGATGTTGTTCCACTGTAGATAGCAAGCGATGATGTTCTAAACTCTCACGGCTTTGATGTTGCATTTGAGAGGAGAGGAATGAACGATTATTGCCGACAGACATATTGGTATTCGGCGTCAAATCCAAAGAAGCCATACGCAACATATCATGATGTGGATGATTGTAGGGTAGTTGTGGTGGCGATGGCACCACATAATTCGCCGTGCGACTTAAATCAACCGAAGTCGTCTGATCATGATCCTGCTCACCCAGTTGATCTGGCAGCATGTTATGCATGGCCGATTGATGTTGCTGCATGCTCAGCTGGCTAGAGTGCTCGTGTTGTTGCTGATGTTGTGCGGCAACAGCAGCGGCAGCGGCCACAGCGGAGCTATGATGTTGTTGTTGTTGTGTTTGTGCTTGTTGCGTTTGTTGTTCCCGCTCGGAGAGAATATCGTAAATGTGATGATGGTAGCGACCAATGCCAGGTATATTTGAACTCGTACTGCCAGGCAGCTGGAAGTTGTGATGATAATTTGTAGCGCTGACACTCGAACGTGACATGTCGAGTCCTTGCAAGTCGGAGAGATCATTGGCGGTGGGCGCGGCTGTGGCATTGCTGTTAGCGCTACGATATTCTGCCGGCGAATCGAGCTCTTGATTGTTGTACTTGAGATTTGCCGCATTGGCGGCCATACTTTCATATTTGGTGTACATGAGGTCCATTTGTGATTGGGAGAATTTCATACGCATGTCCTGGCCGGAGCTGTGTGCAAGAGTTTAGTGTTAATTGAGCTCGGTAACCACTGATATTAAATCTTACCTATTTTGCGGCATAATACTGTTCTCATCGTCGCTGGAGAGATGCGGATTGTGGCCAATCGCTTGTCTTCGTTCATTTTCATGTTCGGCGCGCTTGTGTCGCATCATTTCGCCATTGAAATTATAGCGCGGTATGGACGGCGACGATGCGGGGGATATGAGTTCATGCTCTGGATATGCGCTGCCAACACTCGAAGCGTTACGTCTGTGCCCTTGCATGGTGGGCAGAGGTGAGGATGCTGATATGTTATTGTTACTATTACCGCTAGCGCTATTGCCACTACTATTGCTGCCTGCTGTACCCGGACCGCCAGGTGTGCCATTAGCTCCGTTTGGATTGGCATTACTAAACATACCGTAATCACGACCAGGCGAAATAGGTTGAGGTGAAGGCGGCGTACGATGATGGGCTGAGGAGAAACCATCCGTTTCGGCAGCACTACCGCCCAAATGTTGTGGACGAGGTGTCGAGCCAGCATCCACGTCCACATCGTTATTGTTCTGGTTGCTTTGAGGATTTGTCGGTGTCGAAGCGTTTGGCGATATGTTGCAGGAGGTCATATTATTGCCGGAGTTCGGGAACATTGGCAGTGGTGGAATTTGCATCGGGAAGCTGCTTAGATTTTTCATCATCTTCAGCTCATTCTCCAGGTTATCAATGCTATTGATAGAGTGATGATTGGCGGCAGTGTCTGTATTGAAACGGTTCGCGTCGTTGTCGACGTGGTGTGCGCTCATCGGACTGTCGGTGTTGATATTCGAGTCGTTTGGCACCTGGAAGTGTAGAGTGAAACAAAATTTTCTGCATATAGATTATAACATAAACAAATAAACCAACCTTCATGTCATTATGTTCCGCATCAATCATATTTCCCACCGAATTTAACGCTGCCTCCACGAGCATGCTTGCCGAAGTCGAGGCATTGCCCGCGCCGCTCAGTCTTGCGTTTGCGTTGTTGTAGAACGAACTCATGAAGGACTGCGAATGCGCCAAGGAATTCATTTGCAGCTGGGCATCCTCCGTTTGATGACTGGGTGTGCTGTTAGCGCCTGCGTTGCCCATAGTATTTGGATTGGTATTGCCGGTGTTGGCGAGTCCTGGAGCCCCAACATTTCCGACTACGCCACCGCCACTGCTATTATTGTGATGATATTGCTGCATTTGATTATTATTATTATTGTTATTGGACTCGACCACATCAAGAAAAGAAGAATTTTCATCTTCTTCGCCGCGATTATGATGCGCGTGACCTGCATTAGCCGAGTTCATTAAACGCGCTAAGAAGTCACGATTGTGTCCAATTAATTTGCTCGCATCGTCAACTGAGCTTGGTGGCACTGCGAATGGCGGCATGCTCATTTCGTTACCCACACCCACGCCAACACCACCTCCATTGCCGGCCATGCTACAGGCGGCCGCCACAGCTGCAGCTCCGCCCATTGCAGCAGCGATAGCGGCATCTGCACCTACTCCGGTACCGCCATTATTGCCCATACCGACACCAATTCCACCAACACCGGCACCACCACCACCATCGCCGATACCAACGCCACCACCACCCATACCACAACGTTCGACGGAATTCATACAATCGCGTGCGAGCTGCCGATCATCACCACTTATCCATTTCTTACTGCCCTTACTCACAACCAAATTCTGTCCCAACGCGTTCATGCCGGCATGGTGACGGTAACTGTTATTGTCGTCATGTTGTTCACTTTGCCCGCCATCATGCACATCATCTGGCCCATTCTCGTCCTCATCATCATCCTCGTCCTCGTCGTCGTTGAGCATACCTGCCACTGCGTGCCCACTCATAGCCATGGCATGATGTTGGTTATTCAAACCGCTCATCATATGCATTTTGCTGGGATCCTCTGCAGCTACAGCTGCACCAGCGCCAGCCATAGCCGATACTGCAGCCGCCGCAGCGACCACTTGTTGCACCTGTTGCTGCGCAGTGAGCCGTTGTGCGGTCGTAGTTAAAAATGACTCAACCAAACTCAATTGGGCGTTCGCCTGCTTGCGCCGCACTTGCTCCATATGTTCATCTTCATCATCATCCTCAGTGGTGCCTACACCACCACCCAGTCCACCAGCGCCAGCAACAGCGCTCATCAAATTCATATTGTTGGGTGTTGGTGCTTCTTTCTTTTTCTTACGTTTGCGGCTGCCTACAACTTTTTCGCCAAATATGCTCGAGATCTTTGATGAGAGTAACGAAAGATTGGGCTCATTGCGGCAAAGATCTTTAATGGATTTGCCAGATTTTTTAATGGCTTCGAAGATGTTGTCGTCCGAGAATTCGGTGTCGCTCTGCATGCTCGAACTCAAACGCGAATTTTGATCCTCCAAGCTCTTGCGTCGTCGGCGCGGTGCTTGTTCTGTGGGTAGAAAATAATCACATGTAAATATGGGAAAATCAAGCGTGTGGAGAAGACTGCCACTTACCCAAAAAGTCTACCTTCATGCCGCCCGAATATGCATCAAATGTATACGCGACGCTGCGCTCGATCTTCGGCATCTGTTCTTGTGAATAATTGTGCACTTTCTTGTAATGGAATTGTAGGCATTGCTTCGTGGTGAAAGCTGCATTACACTCAATCTCCGAGCATCTAAAAAGGTATGTATAATGTTAATTAATTGCACGGTACAGTGAAAAGCGAAAAAAAAGAGAGAGGAAGGAGAGAAAGAAAGATAACTCAGCAGTGGAATAAAAGTTATGAAGACTTATGTGATACTCCACGACATACTTGAACGGTCTGACGCCCGAGTGAGTGAGCATGTGTATTTTCAAATTACTGCGATTCTGGAAGAGCTTCTGACATCGTGGACAGCTGACCACAGTCGAGTTGCGACTATGCACCTCCTTGGAATGACGCTGCAATGCGGCGCGTGATCCTAGAAGTTTTGAACATAATTTACACTGAAAATCTCGTAAAACTTCAGCCATATCTAAAATGAAATTTATGAAGAAAATGAAATTTTGTGGTGGATTGTGGTGATTTTGAAAACGATAAATAAGGAGAATGTGCAAAATAAAGAATGTACGAGACTAAAGCGTAATGTTGTTGTTAGGTTATTTCGTTGCAAAATTAGGCTACCAAGTAGGGTTAGTATGATTCCATAAAGCGATTATTATCCAACTACGATTTGTAGGTTAATACTTTGGCAATGAAGAGACTAAATTACTTGATTAGTAAATTTACAAATTGACAATTAATAAATACATTGTTATTGTTATATATTGATCATTATGAGGTTAGTTTTTAAAAGCAAGTTAATTATGGGTTCTAAAAGAAACCACTAAAAATACCAAAAATAAAAATCATCTATAGACAAAAAAGATTTCTAAACTAATACCGTTCCTCAGCTCACCTATAGCTCACGTTAAGGTTGTCGATATTTTAGCTTGGGACAGGGTTTCGAGCAGTTAAGCCTTTTCAAACAGCTCGGGCTGGTAGAACGTCCTGAGACGAGAGTGGTTAATTCAAGGTCGCTAAGCTGGAATTCATATATCTGGTGCAGTGGTGGAAATTATAATTTAATATTAAAAGCTAGGACCTATCCTTTTCCCTACGAGCAGAGTTTGGGACTCACAAATCAGGGCAACCGAGGATCTAACTAAGTAAGTATAGATATTACGCCTATGTTTTTTCCTTTGAGCAGACCGCCTCTAGATGGATTCTCACTGCTGTTTGGTTTAATTCTAAACAAAATTGGCCGAAATGGTTCGGAAGAAATAAACTGTCTTAGAAAAGAGAACAACTCTAAGGTAGTAAGAGACTTGAGTTGCTTGATAGTACAGCTTGCGAAAGTCTAGAAGTTCCTTTAGAGAGATGTAGAAGTTTACGGTGCAATGAGAATCAACCAATGACGTCCCATATTTTATATGACTGTACTTCCAGGGAAACAGCCAAGTTATAAGGGAATCGTAAGTGGATAGATAGTGAGTGAGGCTGAGGCTACTCGGATTAACAACGTGGTACTTATATAACTGCTGTTCTTACCTGTCTACCTATGTCTTCAATTTTGTTTTCTTTTTGAGAGAAGTCTCCACTTCACCTGATCAACACTCTGTCAGAGTCCGAATAGGCGGATACAAGGTAACTTGAAGTTGTAAGTCATGGTTAAGTTGTGGTCAGCTGACCGCTTTTAAAATGAGATTTACTTGAACATTTGACTATCGATCATGAGCTGAAAGAAGGCGCATTTGATCTTCTTTGCGATGGATGGTTGTTGAATGAATTTCAAACTCTTTGGAAGACGATATACTGGTCGACTGATTGGGCAGGTTTGGAGTCAGTGTCTGTCATGGAAATTGCAATGCATTTGTTTTATCGCGATTGCTGCCGGATGGATGTTTGGAACATAACAAACTCCACTTTCTGGAAATGACAAGTTAAATGAAGGAATTTAAGTGGTTTTAGCTTAGACATGGGTCATACCTAGACATGATTAGCGTACTTTTGTGGTCTGCAGGATGTTTGAGAGAACTCTTTGGGGCATGGAACATTGATGTCACAGTGATAATGGTGTTCGCTCTGCCCGTGTGGTTAGCAGTGTACGAGGAATTATGTGGATAGTCAAGGATCCCAATATTGATCAGATTAAGATCCAAAATTATTGAAAAGATTTTTTTTGTGTCAAGTGTGGGCGCTTCTCGCAGGCAACATCAACCCACTCGAGTCTATTTCTGATATGAAATATAAAGCTTCTTCTAAAAACGCATTAGCTGTTCGGAGACGGCTTATAAAAGACATGAAGGTTCCTCTATTTGTTGAAAAGACATTAAAAAGAGCAGATGTTCGACCGAAAATCGATTTAGCGGTTATAAAGTGATTTTTCAATGACGTTGGCTCTGGAGGTAGTGCCTATAAACTAGTGGAGAGAAGTTTTTCACGAATAACTCTACTTTCGCAGTCGGTTAGAGAGCTCTGTGTTCACTAGAGCTGAATACTACGATGGCATTGAAGGTATTCTACCGTGATCCTAACGAGTTACTCATCTTTAGAGGTCTTAAACGGACTGAATGAGCTTTAAGAGAAAAGTCGGCAAAGTAAAAATTTGTTTGGTGTTGACGAAGAAACTCCTTACCGCCTTCAAATGGGCTTATTTATCGATATCAGTAACGATTTTGGGGTGGAGGAGCTCAGATGAACCTATCACTGGTCTTGGGACTTAGTTTAGTTGCTGAAAAGGGGTTTGAAAATCTCACTTCCCAATTTGACCTCAGAACGGGGCACTCAATGAAATCCTCAATCCTGAATCTCAGAGACGATGTGGCTTAGTATAAAAAACGAAATTGTGAATTAAAAAAAAAAATGGTTGATATGTATATGTGATTATGTGAAAACTCATGGTAACAATGTTTGTCCAATTCTCGAACTAAATGCGAAAATGTAATGGATGTTTGTTAATGTGAAGCGAAATATGGAATGAATATGTATGGATTAGTACTAACACACATACACATACACATACACATATGTCTAATAGCTACTTATACTCATACACGCATATGTACAGTTATAATTTGCACGCTATATACATACATACATTCATACGTACACACATAGTTAACACTATGCCCACATGATGCCCACCACACACACATACATACACACACACACACACACGCGCGCTCTACCGGATATTACGTTTGAGCTCTCTGAATTCTTTGCCTACGTCTTCTTACCACTATGCATGCGCTTGATGTGAGCCTTGAGCTTTTGCGGTTGACAAAATTTACGACCACAAAAATCACAAAGTGGACGTGCACGATTCGGATTGGCCGCACAGCCGTAGGTGCGATGCATTTCCAAGTAGTTGAGTCGCAGGAAGAACTTGTTGCAAAATTGGCATTGGTAAGCACCTTTGCCCTCGTGCTTCTCAGCCGCATGCTTCATGATGTTGTCCTTGCCGAGCACCGCCTCGCCGCACACCTTGCAATGGTACTTGCGTATGGTGAGACTCATTGAGGGATCGTGGAAAATCGAGCAATGCGTGCGATAGTAGAGTGGATGGTCGAAGCGTAAATTGCAGCCGCCACAATCTGGTAAGGAGTGAGACAGAGAAGTATTTATGATAGTTAGTTCTGAGTTATACACTGAAAGAGCCAAAGAAATTTCAATTTCAACTTACTCGTCTTCTCCGTATGCTTCTTACGCCACATTGTATTGCAATCATCGCTCCAGTAGAGTAACTCCATGCCATTCTTCACATCGCGACAGGTGACAAAGAACGCCTGACGTTCGATCGAGACCAAGTTCACATTGCGTTCATCATAGTTGGGCGCCGGTCTTATGTAACGTAGCCAATTGGAAGTGTTCGGATTGTCGCAAGACAACAGTTGAGACAACTCCGCGCCTGCCTCGCAGATTTCAAAGATCCATTTCATATCGCTGCCCTCACGCACTTCGCTAGTCTGTACAGGTTGGCCGATCAGGGGGCCGAGCTTTGTGTATGCACGTACCTCGGTACGCGCAAAAACACCCGTCACATTCGGCTCCACATTATGCAGCTCGAATTCGGCTGGCACTGAAGCTTCAGCAAATGTTATTAGCGGCTTGGTTTCAAGTTCAGACATTTGTGATGTCTCATCCATATCCTCATCGTCGGGATCGTGATGGTGCTTCGCCTGCCGCTGTGCATCGTGTTTCAGTTTAGCCAACGCTTCTAGATTCTTACGTTCAATCCATTCGGTAAGATCCACAGCATCAGTAATGGTGCCGATTGCTGTGCGTAGCGGACAAATTTTATAATCGTGCGCAATTGAGCATTCGCGGCACGATTGCTGCGAACGAAAGGCAATATCGTGTTCGTCTTCCTCTTCCACGAAGTTTTGTTCATTTTTCATTTCGCGCGCCAACGCCTCCTCATCCATTTCCTCATCTTCATCATCGTCATCGGTGCCTGCGTCGAGCTCGTCTTCTTCATCATCGGCAATGCTGGTGCCCAGGCTGCTGAATGCATTGTTGACTGCGGGCAGCGTTGTTGTGGGTTTCGGCCCGCGTTTGCCTTTCACACGCGCACGGAAATTACCACCATTTGGCGGTGCATTGAGCGAGGCGGTTGAAGTTGGCATGGCGTTTGTCCCCACGCCAATGCTATTAGCATCGACCACATCGCCAATGCTGCCTGCAACGCTAGCGGCGAGTGCTGCGACATTTGCCGATTCACTAGCAGCTACACCGCCCGTCTCCGTCTCCGTTTCTGCATCTTCATCCGCCTCATCATCAGTGTTCTCCTGCTCCATATCCTCACCCAATTCTCCTGGTTTCTTAAGACATAATACCTTCGGATGTGCCGGCACTTTGGTTGCACACTTTTCTTCCAATTCACTCTTGATCTTCTCCGCTATGCGACAGTCCAATACCTCGGGCAGGGTGTCGCTGGTAGCGCCACTCGCATTTGCTGCATTCTTCATTTTCTGATCGTGTTTCTTGGCTTTGGCAGAGAAATTCGAAAAGTCTTTCATTTTCGATAAGCCATTGAGTGCATCGCTGAACTGCACACGCTTTTTGTATTTCCTACGTGTCGGTGCGGGTGTGGCCTCGCTGCTATTCTCCGTTTGGCTTTTGCCGAATTCCTTGACGCTGAGGTTGGGTTCCAGTTTGAAGTTGTTGGCGAAGCTCTTGGTGGGCGTGGTTGGCGCTGAGGGTGGTGGTAAGCTGGAAGAGAATAACGGGAAAATTAACTCTTTGTTTTTGGGGAAAAGAATTTGTTTATGAAATATGTATGTAACGCTTTCCTATTGAGCTCTCCTAGAGAGTCCAAAGTCGACTAAGCTGCTCAGAAAGAAGCTGTTGTATTTATGGCAAAGATTTGTCGTATGGGTCAGTTCTACAAGGTCTGCGGGTAGATCGGACGACGATACCAGATAGCAAAGCAAGCGATTAGTAAGCGCTGTTCACGAAACTGGTTATTACAACTACACCAGAAGCAGCACATAAGACCGCTGCCATCGAACCGAGAACGAACTCAATAAGGTCTTAAAATACCCGCTGGAAAAGGACGACATCGATATGAGCTCATAAATGCGAGTACGAAGACGGTAGACGATACAGAAATGAACTATTTGAGCTATGGGAGCACATACTCGGGGTCATAAAATTTGCAGAGTCGCCCCCGCTCTAGTGGTACCGCGTTATGTGGATGTTCGTAGCTTCTTGCAAATGGACTTGAGGTGGAGCGGGACTTTGCTATACTCAATATTTCCAATGTTTGCCAAAGAGAAGAGGTTCTTTGTAGGCTCGATATCCATTACGGACAAATGGTGGAGAAATTAAACAACTCATGGGAGAAGTGGCAGAAATCTTCTCAGTCTTCTTCTTTAACTAGTACGCTCTTGTCAGCGAGCTGGCTTTTGGATAGACCTTAAGCACAGGAGCTGTATAGGATCTGGTCTAACTTAGTTTTGATACGTTGGACTTGAGAACAGTGTCTCTTGTGACCTACGTGTAGATCTTATGATAAATGGACCTAGCCGGATGTGACCTAGCCGGGCTACCAAGTAGTGTAGTGCACAGAACCGACTTGCGAAGGAACTACTGTGAACTCCCTCAGCGGTGCCCATCTTCACTCGCCTCTTACCGCTATCACATAGTCAGCCAGTAAGGTCCTTGTACCGTGATGGAGACTCTACTGGAACGCTTCAATGACTCGGAAGCGGAAGGCGGGGGGGAGGAGTGTGTATGCAAGTGTGTACAAACAAATATGTGAATGCCAATGCGTGTATAACGACTTCGAATATTCAACAATCCGTTATGGCTGCTCACTTGCCTGGTTGGCATGCAACAGCAGCAGCAGCAGCAGCAGCAGCAGCAGCAGCAACAACACTCAAATGGGGAATTGAATGAAAGGAGATGCACAAAAGCGACAAACATAAAAGGCGATTCATGCGCGAATGGTTTGTATGCGCGACAAAAGCTTTGCCGCCACTTTGCCAACCGAATGCATGCATGAGGCATGAGACGACCGACGAGCGAATGGGAGTATGTATGTCTGTCTGCCACTAAGAGTCGATATGCACGGGCGAGGAGGTAATGCCAAATAATGCGGGAACTGGATTCGTCTGTTTGTGTGTTTGTGTATGTGTGTGCGTGTACGTAGCCTGCATGGCTCCAAGGAATACAACGGCTTGAGCTCTTATCGCCAAACATATGCGTGTATAATTGTGAATGTGCATCTATGTATGTATGTATTTATGTATGTATGTATGTGTGTATGTGTGTGTGGCAGCTTGAATGCGTGCTGATGATAGCGTGTTAGCGGAAGCGGAAATACAAAACACGAGCCAGCTAAATAACGAAACGAAGCGCGCATGAACGTGTGTTTGTGCTTAAGGTGCAGGATGGCTGTGTGTGTGTGTGGATGAGGCTCTAGGGTGCTGCAGGTTCTATGCTTACAACATACATACACATCGTATTACTGCGAATTTCGCAAGGCAACATCAGCGCTTGGCATCAGTTGCCCGTCGTTGTCGGCATATTGCGTGCGAGCACATGAACCTGCAAGGCATATGAGCTCGTTAAAGCAACTACTGCATGTAGAGTGCAGTAGAGATGTAACGGATTTCTGTTTTCAAAAGAACGAATCATCGAACTCCCGAATTCGGATGCGTGAGATGAATTTGAAAACTGAACTATGTGTCCTGTATGCAACGAGTCACCGCACGCCGTTAGCTTCCCCTTTGTATGCCCCCTAAAACCAACTACTCTAACACCCTCTCCCTCTGATCTGAGCCCGTCGAAACAGCTCGTTTACTGGACCTACCGTTAGATGACTTCGATGACTCGGAATGATTAGCTTGTTCCTTAATTGCTACAAAAACAACAACTAACGATGTGTTAAACATCTCTGTAAAATACCAATAGATCGTTGACGCTGAGAGAAGAAATTGAATTCGGTTTCGAAAGTGCGGCGTTTCCGCTCGACCGTCTCCTGTATGGCCTGGTGACCACTCTACCACCTGGGCTCGCGTTCTCATATGGAATGAGAACCGCATCCGCTGTCGGTATAGCAATTTCCAGATGCTAAAAGATGTAGGAACTCGAACTCGCCGAACCGTGAGTGTTTTTAACCGGTTCAGAGTCCTGCTCGACGAGACCAATCGCCATTCGGCATTCCTAGTGACTCCAGAGCCTGACTAGAGGGATTTACATGGTTGTATTTTTGAAGCCTTTCTGACACAGTTGCCATGAAAGCAGACATATGGACTCAGTTATGAACGGTGCGAGTAAGTGATTGGTTTCATACAACTCTGGCTTCGCGTCTTGTTCATATGCCGTATCACCCATAGCGACTTTCTCGTATTAAGAGATTGCTGACACAACTTCACAGAGAGGGGCTGGTAAAGTGAGAATGGAAAAAATGATTCAGCGATAGAGAGGGAGAGAGAGCATAAAGAAGGGAGAGACGAAAATGACTTGGGTTCCGAAGCTTCCTTAAAAGTTTCACAACTGTGATTCAGACTCCACTTTGAGTAGAGTCAATATGAAACTTCGCTTCAAACTGTGGCTTCGGAAAATTCACCTCCGCAACATCACTAACGCACGAGCACGTCAGCCCGGTCAAATGTATGCATATGCAAGTGCATTCATGCACTCGCGTGCTCATATGCATTATCTACTTTCACACACACACACACACACACACGCAAACTCACTATTCGACAACCCACTCTCAAGAGTACCAGCAACCTACAAGCGGTAGTTGATTTTTGGCCAAGTGCAGTAAAAAAAATAAGAAAAACTACAAAAACTCGAGAAAAAATGTGATGAAAATTCAAATTCACAAGTTGCCCAAGTGGCGCGTGCAAAACTGAAAAATTCCGTCTTTTACACACATAGTGGTGCTACCGCCAGTGGAGGACTCAGTGGCTCAGCCAAGCACGACAACAGAGCAAATGAAAACTGGCGAAAAATGTGAAGCAAACAAACTCTGGCACTTGTGTACAGTTGTGTTGTGTACGACTAAGACTGCCACCTGAAGTGGTGCGTGTGGTGGCTCTTAACCTCTGCCTTCCATATCCATAGTCGCCTGCTGCTTTTGAGGTCTTGAGTAGATATCACTCAGCGAGTCATAAAATAGATAGACATGATTCTCGATATAGGGACTATATTTTTAATTTTATTGCTTTTAAGGAGCTTTCCTTCAACCCGAGTTTATTCTTCACGTAAGCACAGCATTACGAGGTGTCTCAATAAAGTAATGAGACTGATTATATTGCCGCGATTGTGGTAAGCCTACGACCTTGAAACTCCCTTTGCCTTCTCCCGACATCATTCTTCTCTCCATTTATATATTTGCCATCGCTCTAGCTTGTTTAGTTCGCCTGCTGTGTCGTGTTGAGTAAATCTGTGTTCATGGTGCTCATCACGAAAATGGAAAAAGAGAAATCGAGAGCCACGCCTAGCGAAAAAGTTTTGCGTCAAATTGGGCGAAACGGTTTCGGAAATGAAGTCTACTATCGTCAAGTACTCGAAAGATTGCGAAAACGGGTCAACAGGGTGCGCGCAGACATCGCTCGTAACTGGATCCTTCATCACGACAAAACGGCGTGCCACATCGCCCCAGTTTTTGCCTCTAAAGGGATCGCCATGCTGCAACAACCGCCTTATTCGTCGGGTATGTCACCCTATGACTTTTTTTGTTGTTGTCTAGAACAAAATCGGTGGTCAAAGGAACCTATTTCGAGTCGATTGAGGACATACCAGTCGAAGCGCTCCAGAACTGTTACGAAGCACGGAAACCGCGCTGGAATCGTTGTGTATAGCTGCCCAAGGGGACTACTTTGAAGGGGATGACAGAATTGAAGAAAAGTTTTCAAATAAACGGTTTTTATAGAATTAGTCTTATTACTTAATTGTCACACCGACGAAATATTCTACAATGTTGATTTTTGTGTTCCTAAACTCTTCTCTGTTCTTCCGTAGTCATAGTGGAATCGCAAAGAGGTTTTGCAGAAGATCGAATAATACTTTTGATTAAGTGAAGCGGGTTTGTGTTCCTGCTTGGGCCCTAATCTGAGAATTATTTATAAAAAGAAATTGTCTAGAAACCACGTCTTTGCGAAGCTGACATCGCGAACTCTTGAAACGCTAGGATAAAGAAAGGCTTAACTCAATAGCTGGGAAGTGATGAAACGGGAAGAAGAGATACTTTTTCAATCGGATCCTGTCGTTATGGAGGCTGCTGGGGTAGAGTAGAACCGTGCTGGGATATCTTCGAAAGTACAATGAAGGCAAGTTTTTGTGACTTTGGACAAAGCACTAGAAATCTGAGTTCTGAGTATAAGTCCATTGAAGGATCACTCACTATTGAAGGAAATCTCAAAGCTTTATATAAAATTCGAAACATTCATAGCGATGCTTTTAGTTTAACTTCAAAGAGGTAGAGCTCTGTGGTGAACACTGGTAGTTCGAAGTCAGAGAAACATTTATGAGCCACATATCTCCAAGTATTATCTATAAAAGCAGGTGTCGAGGTCAAAATGAAATAGCGCGGATAGCGTCGGATCGTGCGGCCGCCAGCAGGGATTACAACATCTGCACGGACGTATCCAAAAAAACTGATAAAATGGTAGCAGAAATCTATTTACTAAACTGGAACTTAGGCAACTCTTTAGGCTTCCGATTTATTGCAGTGATTTCTAGACGGAAATCTTACCACATACACTGGGCACCTCATGAAAACACCAACATATGAGTGTTTGGACAGACGGAAAAAATATATAATAATCTCACATCGTATTACGTCAGAAAATGTTCTTTTAAGCAGAGAGTCAATGGATTCGATGATTGCAGGGAAGCATCTTCATATCTACAGGGTTCCAGCTTCCAGGTCGGAAGCGTGTTGTGAGAAAAAAAATAGTTGTAAAGGCTGCTTGTGATAAAATTTCTGAGAGAGGAAGACGGAGCATGGTGAGGTGTAATGCCCAGATTGCCAAGATCAACAGCATTTGCAGCGAAGGAAAGTGAATCAAAGTTTTGCTCACGTGATCTCGAAAAGAGTACTGGTCAGTTGTAGGCTAAATACAGGACATAGCCTATTTTGGCGGTACTATCAATGACACATCCAGAAAGTTTAGGGAAGCAGGCATGCGCGTGACGTTTGAGCAACTTCTCTATATTGGTCCGGCCTTAACTAACATAGAGCTCGTTCGGGCCATTCAGCTTCGCTGTTTGGATGACAGAGAAGGTTTTAAAACTGGTTTTCAAAACCGTATTAAAGTTCGCAAAACACATTGACGTCCTACGCGACGATCACTTTATCTGAAATTGAACTGGACCTCCATCAGGCACCCAAAGGATTTAGAAGCTTATATTTGACGGAGCGACTTTGACTACGACGCGAAGTTATACCTACAAGGTAAAATCTATATCCCACCTATACAAAGCGTAACAATCTTTGATATTGCAATACCAGATAGGACTAGTCTGGCTATCTGGCAGTGAGCAGAATAAGTGTTAAGTTGATCGATTAGGTGTGTTGGAAGCATAGTTTTAGTAGGCCCTGGGGGTGAGTTCAGCTGCCACCGAGAAAATCATAGACTTTATCTCCTTATTTATTGAACGTGGAAACGAATTTCGGCTCCTTCGATCTCTTCTCCCGATTTGAGCTGTGGGCAAATGGAGGCACCAATAGTTTACTCTAAACCTCCTTCGAACAGTCGTTGAATTTTTATGAGAAGCTTTTATTTTATGCCAGAAATACAGTCAGTCGGAAGGCTTGGCTTTCCAGTCACCAAGGGGCGACTACATGTACAATCCAGTTTTTGTTAATTTTTCTTTTATGGATTAAAAAATGGGGGATGGGACCATGTGTCGAAGTTCACACAAGTGAGGAAAGTTTTTGATCGCCATTCACCTGGGAGTAGCTAGAAAAGACTTTTTTGCATATGGTTCAAGTAGCTCACGACTACCGAACATAGACCAAGTATCCTCTGGGTAGCCAACAAACATCCGTTTGGAGGTGAGCTAAAGTGCGAAGGTGAATACCATGCGGTTGTGCGTATGGTTTGGGACCCACCACAGAAAAAACAACTCCAATAAAAACATCAAAAAGGCTGTGAGGGACCCTTTTTCACGACGACCCCCGCAAAAGTTGTAAGGATTACGATTAGGCATGCACCTAGAATGTTCGGTCCCTTAATTGGGAAAGTGCCGCTGCCCAGCTGATTCATGTCTTCATGAGACTAAAGGCTGACATCACTGCCGTCCAAGAAATGCGTTGCACGGCACAAGTAACAGGGTGGGCCCTGTGAAATTTACTACAGCGGCCATATAAAGGAGCACAAATATGGTGTCTTTAAGTATAACTTCCAAGGAGTAAGACGTTGATAAGGACATAAAGAGAGATAGTTACGTTCGGTTATTTAACCGGCAGGCCTATTTAATTCTTCTCTGAAACTTTTACACATAAGTTTTCTTATTTACGATCAAGTTGACAGTCAAGAGTTGGGAAAAGGTTATTGAGAATGTACTCATGGGCATGGGCATTTTTTATAAAGCAATTTCCAATCTTCCATATCCACAGAACAATAATTTATGAGAGCGCCAAACTTACTTCTTATCTCAAAAATACTCACTTCGCCAACCGCTCCGTATCGTTATCGGCCAAATTCAGCAAGTACGTCACGAACTCCACATCGTTCTTAAATTGCAAGCGCGTTCGTGTGAGCTCCCACTTCTCGGCGTTCTTGGTTCCAATGTAAATGTTTTTACTATAATTTTGATGACGATATTTTTTGCGCTCACTCTGTGCAGAGCCTGTTGTGCCAGCCGCACTGCCCGCCTCACTGGGCGCACCTCCGCACATGCTCTCACCAGCCAAAGCGGCAGCGATACCGCTAATGCCACTACTACCACCAAGTCCACCGCCACTACCACACATGCTAGCATTACCGGCGCCCTCGAAACCACTACTGCCAAGACCGCCGAGGCCGCTGAGTCCACCGCCACCCGCGATGCTGTTCGCACCATTATGTAAAACATTGCCTCCGCCGGCGCTGCCACCACTGCCACCACTGCCAGCACCCAGCGCTGCTGTTGAAGAGCTATTATTGCTCAGACTTGCACTACTACTGCGCGGCAGCTCATTGCAATTGTTGTTACTGCTGCAATTGTTCGCACCTAAAGCGCCTTCAAAAAGCGCACCAACATCGGCGGCGCTTTGATTCTGCGACTGTGACTCCGTTGGGGTGTTGTTGCAGAGACCGCCCGAGGTGCCACCAGCATCATTGGTGTTGTTGAGACCATTGGCACTTGCATTCGCTATCGCTGCCATCAACAAGTCATCCGCTGTGTTGTTGTTGTTGCTGCTATTGTTTTTATTATTATTGTTGTTGCTACTGCTGTTGACTGCTAAGCGATGTGCATCACCCACACCCATGCCGTCTAGCGCGCGCATGCCATGGCAGACCATCTCATCATCTTCGTCCTCCTCACTACTGCTGCTGCTGCTGTTGTTGCTGCTATTGTCATCATCGATGCCGTTGTTGTTGTTACTGTTTAGGTTGTTGTTGTTGCTGGCCTCGTGTTGTGACGCGCTGATATTCTGACTATGATTGCTATTGCTGTTGTTGTTATTGTTGCGTGCGTTATCATCGCCATTTGTAGTACACGCATTGCTCACACGGCTCTCATTCTCCGTTGTCCCCGCTGTGCCCACGTCCGAGCTATCGCGAAACCTATCATTATCTGCAGCCGCACAGCCTTGTGCGTTCATCGCCAGTGTTTGTTTTTGTGACACGCTTGAATTATGAGCTTGCTCCTCCTCCTCGTCCTCTTCATCGTCGTCGTCGTCGTCGTCGTCCTCTTCATCATCCCCATCTGCCTTTCCCTGTGCTTTTGTGGGTGGAGGAGGCAAAACCTCTGCCGCAGTCTCACTCTCTTCTTCTCCTTCCGTCTCAGCAACATTCTCTACCGTGTCGCTTGGATTTTTATTAACACTAGCGGCGTTTTCTTCCGCTTGTTCCCCTTCTTCTTCCTCCTCATCGTCTTGCTCCATTGCGTCGCCGTTGTGCATGTGCGCTTCATTCGCGCCACGCCCGTTGCTTTCGCCCAGCAGATCTGCGTTGCACCGATCATTGTTTATTAAATTATTACTGCTATTTAATCTACTACTGGTGTTGTGGTTACTGTTACTGTTGCTATTGCAGTTGCTAATACTGTTGTTGTTATTAGTACCACCACCGCCGCCAACGCCACCACTTAAGTTATTGTGCAAGTTCGCGCGACTAAGGTAGGAAGGCGGACGGGTTTGTATATCGGAGTTATCAGAGCTATCATTGAAATCGAACGCGCTGAAGTCGGCCGAATTTGTCTTTGCCACCTCGCTCGCTGCAATGGCTGCGGCGGCAGCGGCGGCCGCAACAGCATCGACAGCGCTACGTTGCGCCGCGCTACGCAATGTTGCTGCATGTGTGGCCAGCTGTGCTTTTGCCGGCTTTGTTGCTTTCGGCAACGCTTTTCGCTTGGTACGCGTCACTTTGCCGTTTCGGTGTTAACGTTTGTACATAAAAAATATATACTGACGCGTTATACGCGGATTGAGGTGTATGCGGTTGCGCGCTAGATTTTTTACCTTGCGCTTAAGTTATTTTCATATATTTTGTTGAGTCTTAAAAGGTGCGAAATAAGTATTTCACTTTATTTTTATTTTTTATTATTATATAAATTTTTGTTCAAGCACTGCGCGTCCGTTTTTCAAACGCGCGCTCTCTCTTTGTGGAAAATCAGGCAGCGCTTCACCCACAACAATAGAGTGGCTTATCCTTTATAAGCAGGTAGTTAATTTTCCTCTGCGTAACTTTGGGTCTAACCACTTTGTGCTTTGCCAACATACACTAGTCACACACTACCACACTCTCGCGCATTTCTTATTTATATTTTGCTAGTTTTCGTACTTTTTTCCTTCATCTTCTACTTTCACTCTTCCCCCGACTTTCTAATTCACTTCTTTCTTTCACTTTTTTCCTACACACACACTTTGTGTATTTTTGTTTTCATTCGATTTGCTTTGCATTCGCTTTCTTCTATTATATTCACATGCGTCTCACACCATTTCACGCGCATACCAACACACGCAGACGAATGGACGCACAAACGCGCACAGTCGCGCAGCATGCGTCGCTCCACTCCGCATCCCACCGCCTGTCGTAAAACAAGCAAAACTTTTTGCCGCTTTTGCGTCTCACATACACAGCTGGCCGCTGCTGCTCCTTCAGCTTCAGCTTCAGCTTTTGTCGTGTCTTCTGTTTCTGATTTCGATTGTATGATTCAGTTTGAGAAATTTTTTACTCGCATTATGCCCGTTGTTTTTCTGTTCTGCATTTACACAGGCTACAATTGTAGATATATCTATAGTTATCTACACCCGCGTTACTTCGATCCACGCACACGTTCTCTGGCAATATATATTGTATATGCGCGCCGCGGCGCAGCAGGCGCTTTGTGAGTCTATGGTCTGTGATTGTATGTTGTGAAGAGAAGGCGCTCTACTACTTTTTTCTTATTACACTATTTTTTTTTTGGAGATATTTGCCTATGAGGAGGGGTTGCCTACTTTGGCTTTCTACTTTTACACACAGACACACACACACAGCGCACTTAAAGCGGATGGGCGCTAGGTGGGTGCTTGTGTTGTTTTATATTTTTCTTCACTTTTTTTTTGTATAGCCTGCTGTTACTGCTGCTGTTGTTGTTTCTTTTGTTGTTGCGTCGGCACCAACGTCTCCACAGCTCAGCGCACGCTGTGTGTAGTTAGCCGCACACTCTCCGCCTGCACTTCCGTTTTCACGCGTCTGCGAAAAACGCGTTTGATACCGAATTTTCTTACTTTTCTACGCAAATATTTTTGATTATAAATATTTTTCGTAATTTTTGCTTTAGCGCTTTTAATATGTCTTTTGCACTGCTGAATTTTCTACGCGTACGCGTCGCGTCATTTTTCACAACCAACAACGCCCATAAATTCGCGCAGCAATTCACATAAATGTTCTAATACCAACACCGATGATGGTGCTCCTTTAGCGCCGCGTCGCGTTCCGCCCCCCTCTTGCTATCTGCCAGACTGCTGACTGCGCCAAGGCTTTACGTTTTTTTCGTATATCCCTTTTTTCGAAATTCCAAATTCTAAGCTTACAATTTTATTTTCATAATAAATATTCCGTCGTCGCTTTAATAAAATTAAATTTTGTCTCACTTGAAGGCGAATAAAAAATTTCACACCAATGCTATTTGCTGTCTCAGCCTGCCTGCCTGCTGTTGGTCCTTTGTTCGCGAAAGCGCTCGTCCGTCGTCTTCTTAGCCACGAATTATTTGCAACATCATCACCTTCATACACACGCACACAACACAGAGACACAGCCACTGATGCATACTTGCATGAGTTGGGAATTTCTCAAATATTTATTTATTCACTGAATTTATTTATATTTCTTTTAAATTATTCTTTCAAATTACTGTATTTATATTTATAATTTTTTAAATCCACACAATTTTTTCCGTCCACACACATCAATAAATCTGGCTATTAAAGTCGTCGTCGTCGTCGTTGTCATTGTCGTCGCTGTATTGGCAACTGTGTGGCTGGGAAATTTTTTCTTTCGGTATTTCGTGTCATTCGCCGTGCCGTTTTGCAGTCGTCGGAATGAACGATATATTTTTTTCTTTGCTTATTTATGTTGCCTGTAAGTTTATTTGCCTGCACCTCTCTAACCGCGCGCGGCGTAGCGCGTTACTCTCGCGCTGCGCCCATAGCGCCCACTTTTCGTAGCCGCGTCGTTGTTGCGCGCTCCAAAACACTACGCGCGGCGCTCAATTGATATACAAACAAATGATTTTCCACACGACACGACAGTGGGGTGCTGGCGGTGCACTTCAACTCCTGTTCACTCATCCTCTATTCCTTAAACTGCCCTCTGCAGTATAACCACCATTTGTGTTTTTGTGTTTTGTATCCTTCAGCGCTGTTGTATACGCATACGCTCTCGTCGCAAATAAAACTTTTCTCCATGTGTTGGTCATAAATCGAAGTTTGCTTTATGCCCAGCCGTGTGAGAGTGTGTAGCCACGCGTACACGTTCGTATTTATTGGCGTCTCCCCCGCGCGCTCTCACTATCACGCTCTCTCTGCCACCCAATCTCACTGTCCATACGGTAAGTACCAGCCACCCGCATACGTGTGACCCACCGCCGTGTTTGTTGGCTCGCCAGCTCTTATAATCGTATGCATGTGTATGCGCTTTGATTTCGCTGTGCACTGAGCATTAGCTCTCTGCTCCTGCATGCGTAAGTGTGTATGTGTGTGTGTGTGTGTATGTTTGGGCCTTCACAGGATGCTTTACGGTTTGTTATGCTTTGCTTTACTTTGCTGTTTGTTGTGTATACGTGTTCGTAACTTTAGCCGCGTTGCTGTCATTATGCCACTGTTGTCGCTGCTACTGCTGCTTACTGCTCTTCTTGTTTGTTGGTGTCGCTCTGTGTCTCTGTCTGTGTATGTGTATGTGTGTGTGTGTGTGTGGGTGTGGGTACGAGAGCATTCCTTCGTTGCTATATTTGCTTTATTTTCTTCGGTGGGTGGTTGGGTTGTTTTAATTTCACTGCTGATTATTTCCCTCTTTCTCTTTGTTCTCTTTTCTTTCTTTTGCCATTTTGCTTGTGCACGCTTCGCTTCGTAGTCTTTGGCTATATGTCATTGCCTTGAGGGTGGTTTTGCAGTGAAGGATTCAAACATTTCACTTTTTCGCAATTTCCTTTTGTTCACCTGATTTTCAGTGGAAAAGAAATGTTCATGAAAAGCAAATGCGGAAATGACAGTTATTGGTTTTGCGCCGAACTTGTTCTACTACAATTCGCTAGTGGCATCTACTACGAGATGGTTGAGAGTAATTTAAAGTCCTTGCCGAAGAACTTTCTTCTTCTGAGAGTAACTTTTTACGAAAGCGCTAAGTTTTAACCAGATTTAATTATTTTTCGTTCATTCGCTTACTTTCACACAATTCTCATCAGTTTTGTAAATATATATATATCCCAAGCCTCTCATAATTCTTTTGCTGCACAACCCTCAGCGAGGAGGTGGATCCATTTTATTACCCAAACAACTTCCGGTCATCTACTATTGTCGACTGCTTTCCAAGGAGTAAGGTCTTAGTCCTACAACTTTGATCACGATAATATGGATCGTCCATCAGTTGCAACTTCTCGCAGGAAGTAGTATTTATTACATAAAAAAAGAGTTCATTAAGCTCGGAAGATGCTTCTGGCTTGCTGTCCTCATGAGACTAAAGGCTGACATCACCGTCGTCCAAGAAGTGCGAAGGACGGGACAAAGACAGAAGAGGGTGGGTGCTTGTGATATTTACTATGGCGGCTATATATTGGAGCTCATATTTGGTATCGGAATCGTGGTGGGAGAGAAACTCCTTCCAAAGAGAAGAGCGATGGGACCGAGCATACTTTCCAAAGGCCAAAAAGGCTGGTAAGATGAGGATTGTCGTACCGCAGTAGAGGAAAACAGGCTGCCTACCTCTTAATGCTACGATCGACCACTACACAGATGTGTGAGTACGAAGTGCTTGAGAAGCTGGCCGACAGGTGCTCTATCGGGCCAGCACTTCTGCTTTGAATCGATATGGTTTTTGTATGATAGAAGAAGGATAACAGTGCATTTATGCACGGATCAATCAAAACTTGCTGAAAAAGACAACGCGCAACGTATTTTTTTTGCTGCAGCTTCCTATTAAAATCAATAGTATTCCTAAACGTGCTACTTACTCTGGCATTTGTCTTCATTCCTAGTTCTATTCTAGTTTCCCCTGAGTTCCCTGCCAACCACACAGAGTGTTGGGATAGCCCTGTGAACCCGAAGGACCTGCTTTACGCAGTGAAAACAATGTGTGTTGTTTGAAATTTTATGCAATTGACTTATCATTGCTCTTGACAAGCCTCTAAAGATGACCGACCCTAGAGACTAAATCTGTTCCCTACCAGAGCTAGGCATTCGCAAATAAAGTGCCATAAGTTATCTCTTTCTTTGCAGCCTCTTTGATTGGCTATCAAACACAAATATCTTATAAAAGATTAGGTATCCATTTTCTATTTTTCCGACTTGGGTTAGAGACCTTTATGAATTATCTCACTTCACTCAAATAGTGACTATCGCCCGACATTCATAACCGATTCATAGCGAACTCCTTAACCACCACGTTACCACTAATAATAGTTCTAAGCCTTAGGGTTTTCATTTCAGAATTACTCAAACAGCTGAAAAGTTCAGTTTCCACAGCAGTTCCAGCACCAGATTAACCTTCTACTCAGAGAGCTATTTTTCCAGTTGGTAGAATGTACTGAGGAAATCTGCTTTCCAAATCGCGAGGCAGCTGAGAATATCTACTCTGTTAATCCCCCTCGAGAGCACTCCGAAACGAGCCTCGGAGGTAAGGAATTGTCTTCACTTTGTCTACAGTTGCCGAGAAAGCAATTGAATTAGATTAGAGATAGAAAAAGTGGAAAAAATTAAGCATTGAAATGAAAGGGAGAATACCGAAATAAACTCTTTTAAGGAGGATAGCGTTTTCCCATACAGGATGAATTCAGAGATTTCGATTGATAATATGGAGCTGGCATTCCAAAAAAATCTGAAGAGATAATATTAAATGGCTGTCATCTAATGCTTCGACTGGGACTGCAGGAAAATTACGTATGAAGTTCGGGCGAAATAACTCATTACCAAGACCATTTGTTTATCAATTTGTGCAGCGAACTCTGCAAACCGGTTGATTATCCGACAAAAAACCGAGGTACATGCCCGCCCAGTGCCTTGAGAGGAAACTATGTATAGCTGCTGTGGCTCGAAATGTGTTCGAAGAGCCATCAGCTCGGCACTGTTCGTAGTAACTAACTATTTCGCGTGCTTCTTTGAGCATTTTCACCGAAAAATCATATTTTCCCATGAAGCTCAATTTTAGTCATCGTATTTGCGACCCGGCTTCCACGTTACTGATGACAGTGAAATCTGCCCATCCAAAGACGATTCCTGGCTTGAAGCATGAAATTGAAGTCCTCTTTGTAGTCATAGCAGACCCTACAATCGAGCAAGTATTTACATATTGGGTAGATGGACAGTACAGAATGGGCTACTGTAAGGCCAGCCGGGGCAGCTTTGTGAACGAAGTGCCTTTCCATTCCATTATAAACCGGACATTGATGTTTTTTAGTTTAAGCAAAATCACTGAAAAATATTTATCCCTTTTTTCTTTTAATTTAAAAGCGCAAATCTCTCCGCGGACGGTAGATGAGGTAACCCAATCGACTAAAATATATTCGGACAGCCAGGCTGCCATTAAGTCTCTTCAATGCAATCATATCACCCCCAAGGTGACAATCAAATGCAGAGAGATCTTAAGCAAATTCTCGATTGTATGCGATACGTCCATGGTTTAGTTCTCTAGACATAAAAATATACGAGAGAATCGCGTATTTGACGAACTGGCCATAAAGGCACAGTCACGGTAGACACTCCACAGTCAACAGCAGTTCAGTGAACAAACCCACGTCCAATGTGAAAATACCAATCTGGCCATAAATCAAGGTAAACAGAGCTAAGTCTCTACACCTTCTAAGCAGAACCACCATAAGCATATGTTATCAAGCGCGGTAACAATCAGACACTGTCTTATAGGAACACATGGTGGAAGGATGGCGTGCTTCTCAAACGGCTTCTCAAACGGCTTCTCCCTCAGCTACAGGGACATAGATGAGGAGGAATCATTGTGACATTATCCGCCGATCGTCACTGCCTACGTATCAGTTCAGTCCGTTTCTTTTCCTTTCTTGAAATTTTCTAATTTCCTCTTCGAGTGTCTTAAAGATCTTGTATCGGTGGGTAGCGGCCATTAATGTCCTGAATTTCGCCAAACACACTAGGTGGTATGAGCATTTGGAAAGGTGAAAGAAATCTTCACAATGGGCTAATGGGTCCGGGTTTCGTGATAAAGCAAACTGTTAATCTAACTAAGTTCTCTGCTGTCAAAGAATGGTGTTCATCTTGTTGCTTTTCCAACAAAATGGACCGATCTACAGGTTTTCCCAAGCCAATTACGAACGGTTGAGCGGTTTTATATGAGAAGCATTGCTTTATTGCTTGAAAGGCGATGTAAGGCGGACTAAGGTCATAGAGCAGGCACAACACATTGATATTATTAAAATTCTATACAAAAATGGTGAAAACCTGGCAGAGACGGTTCGTAAAACTCAAACATTTTTCAGTAATGGAGCGTCACGGACTGAAATACAGAAATTGGTGGCAAAAATGACGCTGTTGGGACGCGTTTGTGATGTGAAGAATAAAATATAAAGAATAACTGGGAGCATTGTTGCTGTAGTCGAAAGTGTTGCAGAAAACCCAGGTTTATACATTTTTCATCGGCCTTTAGATTTGTGCATTCCCGAAATGTCATTGCACTGTATTTTGCATGAAGATTTGGTTCTCAAGGCTTATAAAGTACACTTAACACAAGAACTCTAGTCATATCTTTGCTGTTTGGGTGCTTGTAATGAATGAAAATGAACCGGAATTTCATCGAAAAATCATTTTAACTGTTGAGACCCATTTCCGCCTAGATGGCTACGTCATTAAGCAAAATTGTCCCGACTTTGGCTAAAGAAGCCAGAGATTAATTTTGTTGGAAGCCCTGTGCATCGTCAACGTTCAACTGCGGTTTACGGTCCGGTGGTATCATTGTACCTTACTTTGAATGAAATGCGCGATCGATAGATGATTAATGATTTGTCATGGTCGGAATTGGATGGCATTAAGCTGGACAACGTTTATTTTCAACAACACGGTCCTGCACGGTCCTGCATCAAAATAACACCTCTTGTTGACATTCGGATTAGCTGACATTATCGGTCGCTAAGCGAATTAATTTAGATTTGTTTGTTTTTTACTTCTATAAATTTAGTGTTGGTCTGAACACATGGGACGACTATAATCTGTTAAGCCATTCACCAACACAAGCCGAAAAGTGTCGACCTTTAATAAATCACTTTTAAGTGAGAGATTTTTGAATTATCTTCAAGGGATTCGGCCTTAAGGCATTCATTTCTAAACCAACTTGCACAGGCACCCTTTTCATCTTGAAACAAAACCAACAGTAAACAATAGATGTCGCTCAGCAAGGGCACCCTCAAACTGCAGATCTCCCACAGCCGAGCTTATTCAGCGCCAAATTAAAGAGAGAGTCCGTAAATGAAGTGCGCTCTCAGCCATTTGACGTTTTTAAAACCAACAAGGAAAATTGTCAAATCGCTGCAATGACATGTGAACGCACACGCAAACACACATACACACATACAGCGACACATATGAAAATATAGATGAAAAAAAAAATAAAAATAAAAAAATAAAACTTGAGGGTGGCAAAAAAGAGTCACATGTAAAATTCGATAACTTAGCAAGTGTTCTTTCTTCGTTCATTCACGGCAAACACGCGACGGTGACGGACACACTTTGTGTATGGCGTGTGTATATATGTGTGTGTGTTGTGGGGTTAAAAATAAAAAAAAAAACTGCAAAATAAGCGAAGTGAAGTAAGAAAAATTTGCCTAAAACAGCACAGAGAAGTTGGAATAACGCACAAAAAAGGCAATAAAATTGATAGTGACACAAACATACAAACGAAGTAGCAATCAAACAGTTAGTCAATTTGTCTGTCCATTGCTTGTAGGTTTCTTCAGCCCTTAAATGCAATGCAATCAAAGCGTGTATGCATGTGTGAGTGCGTGTATGCATATGGCTGTGTGTCTGTGTGTGTGCGTGTGTGTGTACGTGTGCCTCTATGAGGGAGTTCAAACCAACAACCCTCGGGCTGTGTGCGCATACGGCAATACAAAGGGGGACTTGAAATAAATATAACAAAAAGTGTTGTTCTTGTTCATCTTGTTGTTGTTGTTATTATTGCTCTTGTTGTTGTTGTTGTGCAAGTGTTGACATTGGATATTGAATATTGAACGGAAATATGTCAAAATAGTGCACTGCACGGCTGTGGTGCCTTTCACTTCGCCTTCACAGACAAACCCACCAGACAGACATACAAACAATCGCTGCGCTAAGCAGTCGGTATGTGGTGGTGGTGAGCGAAAGACAACGTCAAAGTGTACGCGGAAATTTCTATTATCAATTAATTTGGATAAAAATGTTTTTTTTTTTTTTTTGTTTTGCATTAAAGCCTTTTCGAATAACAACATTTTGCATTTCCCTCTTCAACGGGCACTTCGCCTGTGCGCGGTACGAGCGCCAGCAAAAATATTAAAAATAATTTGCATTTGACTCGCTTGACATTGAAGTGCCGCCAGCGCGTACAGATTGCTGGGGAAAAAGTGTTTGTGCTCTAGTGTGCGTGCGTGTTTCGAAGGTGGTATTTTAACAAAAAAAAAAAAGAAAAGAAAAAATAATAAATAAAAAAGTGAATTTTAAATTCAGTAAACGTTTAGCAAATATTTACTTCGCAATTTACTTGCGATTATTTTCCTTTTTCCATTTATTTTCGCTACTTACTCATATCGTTGAGGGGAAAAGAGAGCGCAGTAACGCAACATGTCATTTTCCTATTACGAAATGTCAAAGTCATTATTCTCATATCGATATCTACATATGTATATGTATGTAGAAGCATACAAAAAGGCGCTGAAATTCTCCTGCAATGAAGAGCTTTCGCAAAACCCGCTCTTACGCAGTGCTGCCAGATATTTTTTTCTTTACACATCAAAGATATTTATTTATTGAATCTAAATACAGCGGTTACGCCGACTCATCAGATGTTGTCACCGTCCACTTTTCTGCACTACATAGTACGGCGGAAACGATAAGCGACTTGTAGAGTGTGGAAGAGAACTGTTAGTGTTGTTGGTGTTAATAATGGTTCCAATATAGACGAAAATGTCTAGGACTTCTAAGTTATGGCTATCAACAATGAAGTGGGAACCACGTCAGGTTCCTTACGTCCTAATCTAGTCTGGAAAGGGCGGTAATACTGTCCCACAATTTCCTTATACCAATTTGCTGTTAAGTACTCTCGGAGAGCAGGAAAATGGGGAAAAATCGATCGGCTGTCTGTTGAGATTTCAACATTTAGGCGTTCTTTACTAAACAGAGTTGGGCAGTTACTTGTGCTCATTTAAGATGGTGCTCCACCGAATCAATGTTGTGTTCTCGAAGTGTACGTATGTCAAGCAAACTGAAGACATGTCGTCCGTCTATCACAAACTGTTCGATTTGGTTGTGAGTTTTTTTTTGTGAATTTTCTTGTGCTATAATTTGGTACTACTATGGTAGACGACCATATTTCGGGCCCGGCGAAATCTATCAGCCTAAATCTATTTGAGGTAACTCCTCTGCTCACCCAAGCAGAATTGTGATATCATGGCGGGAGTTTCGCCGCATCGTTATTTTTTCGTTGAAAGATTTTTCCAGCAATTCCTAAGGGTAAAGAACATGATTTCCCATTCATATTCGATTCTTTCAAGTTGTTGACCAATCTTCAAAGAGAGAAAAACTAAGAGAAGAGAGGAATCGGCTAAGTCGATTTTAGGTACTCAGAGGTAGCCAATTTTTTCCATTTGTGTTCAGTGACCTCAAATTTTATGATTTTCTTCGCGCTGGAGATTATTTCAACCCGTTACTCACTCTCCGTAGAAGCGTGTTTTTGATGGAGGTAGGGAGATGTGATGAGAGCACAGCGATAAAAATTTTCCACAGAAACGATAAAGTTGGGCCGCGGGAGGTTTCTTACGAAAAGTTGGCGTTGAAAAACCAATTGTAGTATAAATTCTTAAGGTGTGCTGAACATGAGAGTGAATTGGTGAATGCGTTACGCTAGAAACGTGTACTCGGATCTGATCAGATAAGAAAATAACGGTCATTGGGCGTAGTGACTGAGCAAATTCACACTTTTACGAAAAGTAATGATACATCGTTAGGTAGGTAGTTGGTGAGTGAGACTGCACTGTATCACAAATTGAACTTTCATATCACCTATGCTTTGCGCATTAGGAGGAAGCAGCATCATCTAGGCCAAACACACTTCAGTCACTACTATTTCCATTCCAACGCGACTTTCGAGCAGCGCTGAAGCATTTTTTTTTTTCAATTTCTCTCCAAATTTCTTACAACAGTGATTGCCAAATTTTAGTGCACTCAATTTTTAGTTCCAACGGTGTTTATTAAAATTTCTAATTTAAAAACTTTTGTAAATCAAAGTTTAAACCCGTCCGGCATCACTGCGCCCTAAACGCTAAGCTTTCACTCACCCACCATCACCACCAATTTCCCGCCTTCATATTGACTTTTTCTCACTACTTCTCTGCTGACTATTTATATAAGTACTCTCTTTCTTTCTTTCTCTCTCTCTCTCTTTTGGTCGCTATGTGCGCCACTCGCATATTCAGCACAACTGTCAAGCACGTTTCCATTTGCACTCGCATATCCTGACTGTCGCTGCATTACTATTGAGATTTTAGTCCTTCAGTGAACTCGGAGCAGAAAAGTGTTTGAGAAACGGTGAAAAAGCGTGAGGAAAACTTCAGTCAATCCACCATATTCAAGCCAAGACAAAGGAGCTAAGTGAATAGAAATACAAGTGAGAAGCAAATGCAAATAAGGAAGCAAAATACTTTGAAAGAAAAAAATTCTGTTAAAATTTAACTTTTACAAATCAACGCTTTCAATGCAATTCAATTGGTATTGTGTAATAAAAGTTTACTAAAGTGAATGAAAACTTATAGAACAAAAGCAGTGAACTATAAAACGCAATGAAATGTTGTGTTGAAGAAGAAGAAGAAGAAGAAGCTAAAATTACAGTTTAGTCATATCCTTTATGACGTGGTGGTGTGTTGTGTGTGCTGCTTCGTGGTTTTTATAGTATTTACAACAACAACAACAACAACAACAACAACAACAATAAAAGTGGAGTGTCCCTTCGGCAGTGCGCGCATGCTACGAGAATATTGTTAGTGGCTCACGTTGCTGTGGCGTTTGTTAGTGTGTGCAAGCGGCGCGTGTGTGTGTGTGTGTGTGCGTGCCTTTGTCTTTTCGTATGACGCGTTTTACTATTTTTTTTTTTCGCATTTTTCCTCTTATTTATTTATATAATTTTTTTTTACTTTTGTAATTTTTTTTTGTGCTCCGTTGGCATGCGCTGTGGTTTTATTTAAGTTTTTATTTGTGATTTTCATTTCCATTTATTTTAATGTTTTTTTTATTATTATTTTCCTTCCGTCCTTGTTTTTTCGCTCATGTATGTTATGAGTATTCCAGCAGTTCGGCAATGTGTTCGCTCAAGTCCTTCGAAAGCGCGAGTAGCAGGTGTTTTGTTGTTATTGTTGCATAATTTGAGTGATTTTCTTTGTTAACGATTGAATTGGATTTTGTTTTGTTTTAATGAAAGTTATTAAAATCTTCGTGTTTGTTTTCTTTTTTAAATTAGTGAAGTTTTGTTGTTGTACTTTTATGAATATTTAGAAAAAAAATCTATTTTCTAGATTCGATTTCGTGTTTTTTTTTCTTGGAGGAACGCTTATTTTGAAATTATAATTTTATTAATTTTATTACAAAAAATTTAATTTAATTTATCTCACTTCATTTTATTATTATTTAAATTTATTTTATTTTTATTAATTTTTTTTCTTTTTAGTTTGTAATTTATTTTTATATATTTTTTTTTATTTTTAGATCTCATTATATTTTATTAAAATTAACGTCCTTATTTTACTTTTTTAAATTCATTTTCTATAATTTAAATATATATATTTGAATTAATTAATATTTGATTTGTAATTAATTTTAATTTATTTTCGTTTGTTTATTTTTCGGTCTTATTTTGTTAATTTGATTTAGTTTGATATATTTCATTTTACTTCACCCAATTATATTTTATTTTATTTCGTTTTATTGTATTTTTTATATTTAATTTAATATATTTGATTTCATTTCGATTTTTGTTTTAATTTATATTATTTCTTTAAATAATTTTTTTATAATTTTTCTTATATGACATTTTATTTAGTTGAGCTATTGTGTTTGTTTTAATGTTATTTTATTTTGTTTTAAATAATTTAAATTAATTAATTATGTTAACACGATTTATTTTACTTAGTTTTTGTGGTTTAATTTTTTTTAATTCACTCTTTAATTTTTTATTATGTTTTGTTTTTGTCTTATTTTATTTATGTTTATTATGATATTTAATAATTAATAAAATTTATTTTATATTCATTTAATTTAGTTTAATTTCATTTATTTTTTATTCTATTTTTATTTTATTTCATATTATTGCCTTTTACTTAATTCACTTTATTTTATTTTTATGTTATTTTATTTTTTTTAATTTTTTTTTATTTCAATTCATTAACTTTATTTTATTTTATTCACTTTAATTTATTTTATTTTAACTTACTTAATTTATTTTAGACTATTTTTTAATTTACTTTATTTTATTTGTTGTCAATTTCATTTGAATTTATTTATTTTATTTTAATTCACACCAAAACTATTTTAATTTAATTGACCTTATTTTCATTTTATTTTTATTTTACTTAAATTTTCTATTTAACTTATTTTATTTTACCTCATTTTATCGTATTTAAATTAATTTCTTTTAAGTTTCATTTTACTATTCATTTTATTTATTTTGTGTTATATTATTTTATTTTACTTTATTCCATTTTATTTTGTTTTATTGTTTATGGAATTTTATTTGTTCAATTATATTTTGTTTAAACTAAGTTAATTTTTTTTATTTATTTGATAATTAATTTCACTTTATTTTGTTTTAAATTCCATTTTGAAAAAAAAATTTTCAAGTTTAATTTAATATTTTTGTTTTAGTTTGTTTTCAATATATTTTTTAATTTAATTTTATTTTTTTCTGCGTATATTTGTTGTTGCTATTTTTGCCGATGACGTCGTCACTGTGTTTTTTTTTTATATTCTCGAATGTCTATAATTTTCCCATTTTCTTTGCCCTTCTTCTTTTTACACTTTTTTGCCACGAATGTCGTCATCTAGTTGTCGCCAAGTGCAATAAAGCCGAGGAAATATGAAAAAGAAAATCTGAGTAAACGTTCGCTTAAGTCGTCTAGCGCACAAAAACAAACAAAAAAAAAAAAAACAATAAAATCGATTTACTAATAAACTAATAAATACTGTTTCAATAAAATTATAATAAAAATAATCGTTAAAATAATAGCAACAAAAATTCATAAAAATTTATACGGAACTTTGCAAACAATCACAGGCTCGCCTCCACCATGCATTACGCTCGAAAGCGGAAGTTATATGTATATGTAACTGTATAGTGGATATGAGCAGCAGCGCAAACAAAAACACCGCAATCAGAAAAACCAACGTTCATGTGTGTATGTGTGTGTGTGTGTATGTCTGAACTTAAGCAATATAGCTGTATGTGTGTGTTAGTGCGTGCATAAAGTGACCCCAAGTGTTCACTTAAAACTAACTTCACGTACACCCACCAATCGCCTCTCTGGCAAATCCGTTCGAAGCAGACGGCTGCCTTAAATCCGCCTCGCTTGGGTGCTTTGGTGCTTTTACATTGCCGCAACTGTTTCCGCTTCCGTTACTTGCACTAGCCAAGCACACGCACTTCGGTTCTTTATCGACGCACACGCATACACACTTGCTTAGTCATATTAACCCAATATGAAGTGTGTGTAAGCATTGTGCTGTCATTTGCACGCTCTTTTCTTGCTTGTATAGCTAACGGTTAATATACAGTAAACACGCAAAATGTGTCAAATCAATCAATTAAAATGTGAGAGCAATAATGCATACATACATATATAATATACGATAATATTAACAATAACAAAAAAAAAAAAAAAACAATTTCAACTACTCCTACTTGTAGTACTTGTTACCGTTGCCATTACCGCTAGCATTACCATTACCGTTACCGTTACCGTTACTAATGAAGCCCTAGGCATTCATTCGTTGTTGTTATTGCCGTTATTGCCGTTGTTCATATACAATATAGAGTGTTTTGAATTTTCTTTGTTATGTCCTTCTTTTAATCCTGCATATAATTAACCTTTGTACATAACAATAACAACAATTACTACTATTACTACTACTACTTACCTACCTTAATGCAATTCGGTGACATAAAAAGTGGACGAAAAAAAGAATGAACGAAAATGAAACAAAGAAACAACTCATTTCCTTCCGATCTCTTTTTCCTTTTTCATAATTATTGTTGTTCTGAAGTTCTTTTCACTTTTTCTTGCTACATACATATAAAAATTGAAATGAAGTTAAGTACGTTCTTACAAATCAGTTTTTTTGACGTTACAAAAAATGCTACTAAGTAGTAGAATTAATAGTTCATTATGTATGCAAATCAAATAAGCTCAAGGTATTTGTTGGTGTTTTGTAATCGGTATCGATTCCAGAGATATTTGAAAAAAAAAATTGAAATTTTTTGGGATTTACAGCGTGAAAACCATTTAACTTCAACATCCTTGAAATGTGCCATAGCCTTTTATATTCAGATTAATTCCAATCAATTTTCTAATTGCGGTCACCCCTCGGCAGGGAATGTCAACCTCTCCGAGCATATTTCGGACATGAAGTAAAGCTGCTCATAAAAAAACCATCAGCCGCTCGGAGGCGGCTCAGTATAAACTGTAGGTCCATCCGTTAGTTCGAAAAATATTAAGACGCAAAACCACAGATTGGAGGAGTAGCTCGGCGGAAAATCGCTTCAGCGGTTACAAAGCGCCAATTATTTATATATAATTTAAATCGTAACTGACAGAGACTTGTGTTCAAAGCGAAAGAAAGAAACACATTTCAGCTAGCTCTGCCATTTTCTGACATAACTTTTGCCAGACAGATAACTCCCAAGTAATTGTCGACATCTTCTCAAAACTCTTGTTTGGCGAAAACTTTCAGAGAACATCAGCTGGAGTTTCTTAAACTCAACATTATTTTCGTTTATATATATCTAGCACCTACCCACCTCAACTGCCCAAAGGCCTCATGTGATTTCTTTGAAGGCGGCCTGGAATTCTAACATTTTTTTTTATAGCTTTCCTAGCTACTATGCGGAAGGCAATGGATTCGAACCTTTGTCACACTTTAATAAAATATAGAAACCATTTTTCTTTTACAACCGCATCTCGGCAAGGAATGCCAAATCATCCGAGCGCATTTCCGACATGAAATTAAGCGCTGCCCTTAGATATCCATGAGATATTGGCAGGTGGATTAGTATAATTTGCAGGTTTCACATTTTTTTTTTTGGAAAATGAGCAAGAGGAGGGAACTCCACATATAAGAGTAGGAGCTTAGCGGAAAATCCTAATATAGCGCTTTTTATATATTTTTTATATACATATATATATATATATATATAAATAACTACAAGTTTTCGCTTTTTGTCATCAACTTTCTATTGCAAATTGTCCCGTGCGACATCGAAACAAAATATTTCATGAAAATTGAGATTTTTCTCTGTAGTTTAAGTGAAGAGAAAGAAAAATTTGTATCTGCGATTCAAAATTGCTAACAGAATAGCCAGCCGTAAGCAATATTTCAATGGTCATTCCATTTAAATGAAAAGTAAAAATGTCCCATACGACATGGATGCAGATGAAATTAATTTAAAAGTACGGATAGTAATGAAATAAAAATCACGTTTAACTAAAAGTGGTTTCATGATTAAAGCATTCCACTAAAGGCTGATAATTAATTTTTGATCACAGAAAGAATTCTAGTTTCGGTCATATAAAGTTTTCCGTTGATTAAAAGTAAAAAAATACTCAAGATCTTTGTATAGGCTACAAAGGTTTTGATCTAGTAAAGGAAAGCTCGGATTAAAACTTACTTTATTCAAAAAAATAGTCCAATTCAATATCACTTGCTTAAGGCGATTTACCTTTTACCTCATAATGGTCCTCAGTTTTAGCAAAAATCTCTCAAATCGTGCAAATATCTTACAGCTGAGCACTGTTTTGAGCCTTGCGAACATGCAGTAGCCTTGAGCAACAAAATCTACCGAACAAGGTGCAGGAAGGTTTTGTATTTATCTTCAAAATATGCCGAAACTGTCTCCTTGAATGCATCATTGGTGATAATTTTTTTTACTTCTGAGCTCTTTCTTCTCCTTTTCGAAACAGATAATAATCATTTGGGATCTAATATCATAGCGTAGTTCTCTCAAGACCTTATATTTATAATCGATAAAGCGTTGATATTCTCGACACACAACTGTCAAGATAATCCAACCAATCTCTGCGAGTACTTTCTTCTTTAGTCGAGCATCGTTGAGGATACTTTTTCCAAAATTTTGGGTATGCTTCTGCCCAGTCTCGAGTCGCCTTCAAGGGATTTCCTACTTTGTTTAAGTAAACTGTGTCATTTGTTGGTTTTTCTTGATAAGAGTTGCCGTAAACGAATGACACCTCATTCGTTGTGGTCACAACTTATTTGTCGTACTTGCTAAGGAACTACATATGTATGTATGTACATAACGATATCCGATTTCTTCTATAGTTCACTTTTCATTCCTCGTTGCGTTGATTGACGATATTTACACTTATTCTGAGTCACTGTAGACGTTACAATTCTAATGAGCGTAATCACCTTCCTACAATCCTCCCAATCCACGAACACATAAACGGTTCATCGAAGTATTGTCGTTATTTTGAAGGACCTTGAGCCACAAGGCGGTGTCTGGAAGAAATACAATTTTATCTATATACTGTTTCTTCGCGATTTCTGCCTTCAAATGCTCCGATAAGAAGAAGTTAGAAAATACCGAGGTCATTTATAACCGTTAAACAAGATCGTTGTGCTTTCGGGCATGGTTCATCAGTTTCATCCATTATCACAAATCAAAACAGCTGAAACTCGGGTTTGTTTCGTTCAAACAGTGCTCAGAATTGTCAAAGTAAGCAAACACGGCAACCACTTTGAACAGAGTGAGACAGAATGATCCCATGAGAAAAGAGAATCCCCAACACTGAACTAAAAACTGTCAAAAAAATTGTTAGGCTAAAAATCACTGAAATCATCAACTATGTGAGGAATATATACATACATGCATACATACATATATGTGAGATAAGACACCTATTATAGACTCATTTAGTTTTTCTTCACCGTTAAATAATTTAATTTTATGTAAAATGGTTTTCTTGTTCAGATTTTACCTTCTTTTGTTAAAAAAAAAATTAATTTTCTTGTAAATATTTTTTAATTAAAAAAATACAAATTTTTTAATGTAGTATTTTTGGTATTATTATCGAGGTATTTCCGTTTCATGAAGAACAATTCTAATGCTCATAATATTTCTAAACAAATTCTTATTGAATCTCTTTTCTACTCATTACTGACCTTAATTCAGTTTCTAAAAAAATACTTGTAAAATAAAACAAATTAGAAAAAAGTGCATTGAATCCATCTCCTAGTTAAATTTACATGCATGCTAATTTTCCTTTAAATTCTCTCTATTAATTAGACCAAGGTTTGCTAGATTAGTGTTACCATATAAAGCAAAAAAAAAAATATAAATAAATAAAAAATAAAAAAGTTTATCAAAATAAAAATTTAATTTACTTGCCCTTCCTTCACAAATGACGGCCTTACAACACACACACACATAAATATATATCTACAACCAAATAACAACAATACAAAGAAAATTTCTCCTAAAACTCTCTCTGTATCTATATTTGTTAGTGTTAAATTTCTGCATAAGAAAAAATTACCATTTTCAAACTAAAGTAGTGTCAATTAAATTTATTCTTTACAGTCATTTGTTACTTCTCGTGATTGGTTTGATGATGTAGTTGCGTTACTTACACATATACGTACATATATGTATATCTGTTGAAAAAAAAGAAGAAAAAAAATATAAAAACAGCGAAAAAGAGTACTGCTCCATTAAGTACTTTAACGTGTTGTTAGTTGAATTGCTTGCAAAAGTTTTATAAAAAATATATATATACATACATACATTTATTCGTACTTGCATACGTTGTTCGTTCGTTCGCTCGTTCGTTGGTTCGCTCGTTTACACTACTACAAACAGCAACTACTCCCGACTCCTTCTTTATCTACAACTATTAATCTAACTACTTTCAATCTTAAAATTCCGCATATTCGTTTAAATATAATATTTAAAAAAAAATAAATTAAATTAAAAAAAAAATTATATTAAAAAAAATTTAAAAAAATTAAAAAAAAAATAAAATAAAAAAATTTTTTTAAAATTTACAAATAATTTTGAAAATCATCTGCTTTGTATATTTCCAATTAAAAAACAACCAAACCACATCAAACAAAACGAACAACATTTGGCAAATAATTTATGAATTAAGGTGAGTACGCTGAATTAATATTTTTTTTAAGGATTTTTAAGAATTTTTATATAGAAAAAAATTATAAATTTATTATATTATAATCAAATAATGAAATTCCTCTTTGTTTATAAAGTTTGAACCTTGGAGTTATACGTGTATATGAAACACTATATTATTCAAATGATCGCATCGCGAATTTTTGCAAGCTTCGATCAGTTTGAGGTAATTTTCGACCACTTTTTGGCTTATATTGGGATCACCTTTTCCAATTGACACATATTAGCTCAGCAGACTTCTTTAGAAAGTGCATAGAAGATTTCATCCCTTATTTCAAACAACCATATCGGTGGGATACCAAAAGAACTACCAGTCTTACCGCGTGAATTCGATCAATGTCTGGTCAGAACTCGCACAAAAAGAGATAATTTTTTTATATAGGAATAGAAAG